GACGAGTCAGCGAGGAGAAAATGTTAATTTTATTTGTTGTTAGCCTTGTAAAAATAAAAATAAAAATGTCTTTAACTTTGTGTTACTTTTGAAAATATTACTGGGGGCCTCACTGTGCCTGTAGCCCAGGGACCTACAAACTCTTAATCCGGCCCTGGCCTGGACAGGCTGTTGTGGGGAAAGTGCTGCTAGCGAGCACCTAAGAAGGCCGGCATGGGACACGAGGGGGGTGATGGCCAGCAACCACGCCCGGCCGCCTTTGTCTCCCCAATGCTGACGATGTACACCCCGCGCCAGGTATTCATTTTGAGGCCGAGTCGCGCTATGGGGAGGACTGGTTTCAATAATCGTCACTGGCGTTGGCCGTGACCGGGAATCGACATCGCGTGGTTCGTATCGTAAGTGCGCGAACCACTGCGCCACCGCTCCCCACGCGCTCAAACCGATGTATTGATACGTCACTATGTAACACGAGTTTTGTTCCTGGGTAGTGTTATTTTCTAATTGCTTATGCCTCAAAGTATAGAAAATGTCTATATTCCCCCACAAACTTTGCTTTTGTGACCAGGACTTTATGGGAAGGAATGACACAAATGCACACGTTTTCTCAGTGAAAATATGTAAATTCCAAAATATCACTGTCCTGGTCACAAAAGAAAAGTTCGTGGGCAATAATAGCCATTTCTGTACTTTTGAGGCATATGTAATTAGAAAATAACACTTACTACCCAGGAACATTTTTTTTTATTACACTGTTATTAATGGAGTGCATTATTAACTGTGCTTTTATGTCCTGGTCATAAAAGCAAAGTTCGTGGGGAATAATAGACATTTTTTGTACTTTTGAGGCATAAGCAATTAGAAAATAACACTTACTATCCAGGAACAAAAAATATATTTTTTGTTACACAGTGTACTTATCGGTTCTCGTGAGTCACGTGGCGTGTTTTACCAATGACCATGACGATATAGTAGTAGGTTTTTACCCTTTTAAACTGGTACAACACTGACACCTTTATTCAAGGCATCATGTTTGCAATAACCACAACACAAGTAGTCAAAAAAGCTAACAACAAGAAGCAACTCTGATAATGATAATAATATGCACTGTCCTTGAAGTTGATTGGTCCACACCCGAGACGGCTTTCTTTAGAGCCTAGTCCCTATTGGTGTTGGACCAGATGACACCAGAAGGCGTACAACTCAAAGACATTGCAATATCAGAGTATTGAGAGCTCGGGGTAAGCATTTACACTATGAGATCTCATAGTGTAAACCATGACGATGTTTCGTTTGTTACTTGGGAACGGAGATCTGTTGCTGTGTACTGTGCAGTATGTTGAGCTTTTTTCGCACCGTACGCAGCCAACTGTGCTGTTGACTTTGGGAGAACGCGGGCAGTGGAGTTCGTGAAGCCCTCCTGTTGTTTCCCATCGTAAGCCCCGGGGGTATGGTGATGGCGATATTGGTGGTGGTGAGTGTTGTTATGGTACAATATAGGGCCAGTCATGGTGGACGGTGGGGGGGGTGTTTGACCATACTTCACCAAAGTAGGGCATAATCCCATATATATATGGAACGTTGATTCTACGTTGTTCCAACTAATCCAATCCACATGCCAACGTTGAGCCCAGCATTGCTTGCCTACCGTGATGGAGTTGTCAGTAGTAATAACCGCGCTTTGGTGTGCTTTAAGGTCAAATGTTAATTCGCTCATTAATTACGTGTCATACGGTGCGATTCCAATGTAATCACAGTGCGCTTCTCATCCCGCACCTCCACGATTGGCGCTGTTGGCCACGTGCGGTGCGAAAGAAGTTCAACAAACGTGGTGCATGCGTCAGTTTAACGCGTAGGCTTTCGTGACCAATATACATAATACAGGTGTTTTTTTTGGGTTAGATCGCGTAAATATATAAATGTGTCGTTAAACCCGCCACCACCCGACACAGCCAACTAGTAAGGCTTGTCACGTAAACAGAACGTGACAATTCGTCACCAGTGCAGCACACCGGTGTGTTGGAGAGCCAAGCCACAACATTTACAATCTGAGTACGACGTTTCGCCAGTAATTACAACTAGCTTCATCAGGCGACCGCCATATTTGTGGAGAAATCCTCCTTTCTTAAAAAAATACAGATTTAATCATTTAACGTTGTATTTGAGATATGGTGGTGGTGGTTGGGGTGGTGATCTACAGAGTGTGGGGAGTGGTAGTGTAGCGGTTAACGCGCTGCGCTACGAACCTGGCGACCTGGGTTCGATTCCCGCTCACGGCCAACACCGGTGACATTTATTTGAACCGATCCCCGGGCCCCCCCTAGGTCGACTCAGCCTCGTGTGCCATGCCGTTCTTCATAGATACTCGCTAATAGCACTTGGGGCTATACGGGGCATCTTTGTCTTTGATGTACAGAGTGGTGCAATTGTCTTCTCACCCCCAATTAATTGCCCCTAAAATATTTTTTCCTTTGATAATTAATTTATGTTTCAAATAAACCTTACTTTAAAACATTATTAAGTTTTACAGCATTAAATGGGAGTCGCAAGACATCTGGACCATCCTGTACAATACAGTGCTGTGTAAAATAACTGATTTCTCTTTTAAGGAAGTGATCACTGATATCGTATCAATCTGTATATTGCCTTTGTCGAGGCGCCTCCTTATCAGGCGCTTTTATTAATACGACCTCGTCTTTTGTAGCCGTCAGCGTCAACATCTTTATACTTCCACCCGTGTCCAAAAAAAGCCCCTTTTTTCAACGGTTTTACTGAACGCGACTCCTCTGTTAGTCTGGGTCAAATCTTGTAATCAAAATCTCGTCCACTTCCCTTTGTCCAATCAATTCCACATTTTGCACACTTACTCAGATCCGGTGACAAATCATGTCTGTATTAAAAAAATCGGCATCAATTAATCAATTAATTCGCTACTTTAAAGCAATTAACATTTTGTATGGACGCCTTATTATTTATATATATTTGTGTGTAGGTCAAAAACACTGGTCCCTAAACTCTCGAATCGCCTCGCCCAAGAAGCAGGCGCCACGTGTCTCAGACGCGCTTGCTCCGTGTGAACGAGTTCCAGGCACCATCCACGTTAAACGAAGTTGTGAATAAAAAGCGTTGTTTAAAAGAAAAAAACTTTTTTTAAGGAGTTTATTTCTAACGAGACAGTTTTCTCTCAGCCACACTTTGTCCAACCACCACATTTGCAGGACAACCAATCTTGTCTTATTCTTTCGGTATAGTCACGTTAATAGAAAAATAAAATATATAAATAATACTGTAGTCTGGTTCTTAGTCGGAGTGAGTGTACTGGCAGTCTATAATGTAGACTGTAGCCTGAAAAATAAATTATTATTTTTTCAGGTACTTTGCATATGAGAAGAATGTATTTTTTCAGGCTACAGTCTACATTATAGACTGTTAGTACACTCACCCAGCTTAATAACCATTGCTACAGTCTACATTATAGACTGCCAGTACACTCATTCCGATTAAGAACCTGGCTACAGTATTTTTTTATTCACTTCATTTTTATTTTTCTATCTACGTGACTTTACCGACAGAACCAAAGAATATGAATTCCTGCAGTCACGAATGTTTTTAAGTCACAAGTTTGTCTTCCTTTTTTACCAAGCACCAAGACCGTCCATGGGGGGGACGGTCGCCCCGATTCGCCATACCCCGAGGGAACGGCTGTGCCTAGCGCTGCTCGGCTTTGAAACTTCATCGAATTAATTATCCATTACCCCCCCCCCCCCCCCCAAGTTCATCCCATGCCAGAGGTCTCAACCGGGTACCCGATACCCGTACCCTACCCGATACCCGGCCGGGTACGGGTAGACCGTGAGTCACCGGTGAGTAACCGTTTGTCACTCATTTCGGGTAGGGTACGAGTAGCGTACGGGTAAGGAATCAAAACCCGTTTGCGACCTTTGTCCCATGCTAAGCTTGCTCTCGGCTCAAGAAACGCGTGCGTAACCACTAATGCCACGATCATTGCGCGCTCTCTGTTGCTGACCGCCGCTCTTGTGGAGGGCTTTGGGGGCCGACGTTTTGAAAACTTTCACGAAAAAGCAATTCTGCCGTTTTCCGCCGTAGCCTCGCATCCGTGTGTGATATACGTACAAGAGACGTGTTTGTGGGGGGCGGGGGTGCTTTATTTATTGCTCATATCGATTGTTCAATGAAGCAGGGATAACCTTAAAATGCGTATTATAAATCAATTCGACTAATTTGGCTGTGACACCCAAGTACACTACTGCTAAGTGTCCTGTATGCTGATTGTACGATCGGCACCCATGTCATGAGATGAAGCCACTTGGATCGCGTGCGGAGCAGAGAATGGACCACGAAAGCGGATATCACAAAGTTCCCTCTGAGATCCCTTTCACCCACTGTGCATATGACAGTAATCAATAATCGACATTCTCGACAAGAAGTCGGCCAAATTAAGTGCGAAACTAAAATTCAATACGTTGTGCAAAAAAAGTCATCGGCTCGGCACGCTGACCATCTTCGATGTCTGAGCAACTCCACTGCATTTTGTTTTTACTCGAATAATAATAATTGCAGCAGCATTTTATTCTGGGTAGTCTCAGGGAAATATGCAACATTGAAGGGGTGTTTTATGTACCTAGGCTGTTTTGGGGGTTGTGGATCATTGACAAAAAAAAGAGTAAAATTCATGCCCCCTTAGAGTTTCTGAGATCTTTGAGGATCATGCTTATCAATTCGTGACACGGTGTTGATTTAAAAATGCTATTTAAAACGTTGAGATCCACTCCACCAATGTTTAAACACTCAACTTATCACAAAGGATTGTTTCAATATATGCACTGTATATTATCTTGGAATAATTTAGCAAAAAAATCTAAGTAACGATACTTTGAAATCTAAATACTGTACCTGTACTGGTTTGTTGTATCTAATACTGTTATAATAATTGATAAAGTGTCATTATTTTATTCTTGAATAACACTCAGTAATCCGTATATGCTTTACAATGAAGCATTTATTTGTAGGTTGTAAGTTATTCCGTAAAAGTGTGTCGTTACATTTTATGCAGCTATAAATTGATACACAATATGTTATACATGCCACCTTGGTGGAGTGTGGGTAGTAAAATAATAAACACACATGGGTCTCTTTCGCGGGCAAGAAAAATAAACTTGCATTTTGGTTCGCCATTTCTACGACGACCTCCCAACGAATGTTTTTCAGCAGGCAAACTCTTGCGTAACAGACCACGGTTCTACGAGTGGGGCTCTGAAAGTCCCAACCTGGTCCAGAGTTTGACTGGTGGAAAACATTCCATCTCGAAAAATATTTAATCCCGAAGACCAATAGGCCGATGAACCAAATGGTGACTGGCGCTAAGTTTTTCGCCGTTGTTGCCGCCTAGCCCCGAGATGCATGTTTGGGTCGGAACGTGCGCTGTCCGGCGTTACGCACGACGTATTGCTCCACGTGCTGCGAGCTTATTTTACGGACGAGAATTCGGTTTGGAGAGTTCCTTGAAAACAGCGCGCGGTACAACCCAAATATACATCAGAGGACCAAGACGTCGACATTTTTTTTATTGACGGGCGACAGAGACCCTTTTCTGTTTTATAATTGTATGTACTGTTGACTCTAAAGTGGGCATCGACTTCAGTGGAGAGCCCCACCCTCTCTCCAGACTCCCAAAAGCAATCGTCTCGCCAGCCATGCAGATCACACAACGCCTCTGACTTGCAGTTTTACGTGACTTTGTTCTTTTAAAACTGTCAAAATGTATTTCAATTCCGAAATCCTGTTGGAAGGCGTGAGAACTCGGTATATGAGTACACCTACACCTCACCCTAAATCTAAAATGATGATCAGCAGGGTGGGTGGGGGGGGAACATCCGACTTGCCGAACCTGATTCTCCATTGTTGGAGGGTAGCATCTCTATTGGGCCCCCACACAGTATCAGTCTAATCTTGAACACAACCTCTGGAAGGGTCTAGACCCATAAATCAAAAATTAAACCTCGGCCAACACAGGGCCACGTACGGTGTGTGTGCGTGCGCGCACGATCAGTGACGGCACTCACGTCTCTACGCTATATAAGGCTAAACAGCGGCGGAGAGGCTGCGACCTCGCAACCCTCGCAAGCCTCTTCTGCCTGCGCGCCTCCAGCCACGCAACGGCAAACGGAACCGCGCGACCCGACCGGCTGAACGCACGGGCCGCTTCAGATCTCCTGCAGGCGAATGACCTGCTGGACGCCCCTGCCGCACAGGTCTGCCGCCTCGCAGCCCGCGGGCAGGTGCACGAGCCGTACGCTGCAGCGGCCGAACAGTTCGCGCTCGTAGCGGATGAGCTGCCGCCAGAAGCCCGAGTTGGGGCACACGGCGGGCCGGCGCGCCCGCACCCAGCGGAATGCGTCTCGCAGCACGAGGCCCTCGCCGCGCATCAGGTAGGCGATGCAGAGCGACGCGGAGCGGCTCACGCCGGCCGCGCAGTGCACGAGCGTGCGGCCGCCGCGCCTCGCCTCGCCCGCGATGCGCTCCGCCACCGGGTCGAAGTAGCGGCTGATGGGCGCGTGCGGGCAGTCGGGCACGGGCACGCGCACGTAGCGCACGCCGGGCAGGCGCGCGTCCGCCACCTCGAGCGACGCGTTCACCACGCACGTGATGCCCCGCGCGCGCAGCAGACTCGCGTTGGACGCGCAGCGCCCACTGATTGTTTAGTTTTGTTTGGGTGGTGGTGGTGGCGGTTGTGGTAGAGAGGAAGCGCATTGTGGCAGGGAATAGGTTGTGGTGGTAGTGGTGGTGGTGCGTGATGGGTGTCAGGCAGTGGTGGTGGTCATGCCAGCCGTGGTGACAGGAAGTGGATGATGGTGGTAAGTAGTGGTTGGTGACGGCACGGTGGTATTAATGTCAGGGAGGAGATGGTGGTGGCCGGGTCATGACGGTGATGGAAGCAGGGAGGAAATGGTGGCGATGGCAGGGAGTGGGTGGTGGTGGTGGTGATGATGGCAGGGAGTGGCGGAGATGATGGCAGGGAGGATCCAGTGTTGGAGTGAGTGATCGTGGGCCATGCGCGCGTGCAAGGAAATGTCGGTGCAACACAGGGATTGGGGAGAGAGGAGGCGATGGAGGGAAACAATTAATTCACAGCAACACTTGTGCCAGACGTTGGCCATAGACAAATAACATGACTGCTATTATGTAAGTGAATTATACAGCACATTTAAGCAATATAAAAAAATCTGAGTGCACACTCATAGCATTAATCAAGGCAATGTGTGTGTCTTATATATAATCCATATGTGCTGCAAACACATTTGAACTCAATTTGCATTTCATAAAATGACATAAAAAAATAAAAATCAGCACGCTCTACATCTAGTGCAAGCACACGCGATATGTATTTAAAGTGCACCGATATCGTTACCTCGGCAATCGCCACTCCACTCCTCCGCCGCTAATCGTATTCTGAGTGGGAGTTAACACTGATGCGATGTTGTCGTGCAGTTGTAGCCTGAGAGCGTGAAGTTATTTATAGTGAAATGGCAGCGTTACCGAGTGCGTAATGAGTAATGACGCCACATTGGACGTGTAGCCTACTCTTGAAAGCTATTTTAATGAGTTTGGTGTTGTCAGTGTAATTGCCTTAACGGCCCCTCTCGTAGGAATACGCTTCATCCAGAACATGCTGTGGTTTTTTTAAATTCTCATTAAAAAAAAAATCCGGCAACACCCCTATGAAACAATTTTTATTTTCTTAACCCCAAAACAAATCCCCTTCTAAAAAAAAAGAATTCAAATATGACCGTTCATAAATCACCAGCCATGGAATCTCTGGGATGATGTAAAACAAAAAAACATAAAGATTTCATCGAGAGAAATCGACGCAATTATGAAGAGTGCTGCTGCTGCTGCTGTTGGCGTGATGCGTCTGGGCGATCTGTCACGTGGGGCGGAATGTGTGGAGTCGGGCGGTCGATGCCCGGTCGCGTGTTAAGCGAGCGGCCACTCCCTTCGCGAGAGGCCGGCAGGCCGCAGACCGTGGCCCTCGCCGTCCTCTCACTTGCCGCTGTTCTCCAGCAGCAGTGGGAAGTTCCGCAGTGACTCGTGCGTCTCCGCGCTCTGCAAACTCCTTTTCCGCAAAACTCCAGGCGCGAGCGTGAGACCGCGACGGCCATAATACAGTACCGCGATGCTCCGCTGCTTAGTTTTATATTTTTTGGCTTTGAGCTGCCTGAACAATGATAATACGCTAACGCAGGGTTCTTCATTGCAAGGCCCTCGGGCCACTGGCTGGAGGGCCCTGACGTGTGGCTCTCGACAATGCACGAATGTGCAAACCACTCCATCATGCTGTCAAACTCCAATGCTTTAAAATGTGTGGCGGTCCTCACACTGCTGACGTCTTATCGTCAAAAGTTCCCCCCCCCCCCCATCCCATCTGAAAATTAGTGAAGAACACTTACATTTTATTTTATTTGGCCCATTCTCTTTGTCCAGTTCCTTTTTTTTAAGGTAAACATTTTTCTCTTGCTAGAGGACATCAAACTAAAGTATCTGGAGAGAATGAACGCGAGACATGAGAGTCTGATGAATCATCATTCTTGCTTGCTGTACGGTGCCGCCATCTCGCCATCGCCACTATTTTTTTTTCTTTCATAAACGAAAACGAAAAGGCAGCAATGCCGGTGAAGTGCAGCGATACGATGAGGAAGAAACGTGTCCCTGGCACGTCTCGTGTGACCCGATATACGGAGGGGAAGGAGGAGCCATGGAGCTGAGCAAGGGAATGGGGACGAGCGTGGGGGGGGGGGGTAGAAAGGGCAGGAGAAGACGGCAGAGAACGAGAGATGAAAGGGAAGATCGAGGCGACGGTGGTGAAGTGAGACGTGCCCTCGTAATGTGGAGGGGGGGGGGGGGGGAATTAATTAACCCACCAGCGGGTTAATTACAGCGGTGGTTCTCAACCTTTTGTTGGCTACTGTACCCCCTTCGTTAAATTTTGTTTCAACCGAGTAAACCTCCTTGCCTGACCCAGCATGGTTCTGAGAAATAAATGTGCAATCGATGATCATCAACATTTTAACCAGTTGTCCATTTTGTGAGGGATCCTGACGAGCTAGTAACTGCAAGCGAATAAAACAACATTCAACGGACGCTGTGCATGCGTGATGTAATGTGTTCACGTTCACTAGTTACTCTACGAAACCAAAATTGTGTCCTATCAATTAGTCTGTTAAAGGTATTTTATATTGTGCTAGGTTAACATATGGATTAAAATGTTATCGTAGTCATTTCATGTTGGCAGATTCATCCAGGATTATTCACCGATGACTCTCACGTATCGTATCATTTCACACGTTTAGAAAATGACCTCACGCACCCCGCTGGGATTATTGCCACGTTTCTCCCAGGGGGTCCGCTTAAACTCCCCCCCCCCCCCCCCCCCCCCGTGGTAGAGAACCACTGAGTAAACCGAGGACCAATCTCTCCGTCGACACTGACAACGAGCAAACGTTTTGGGGTTTTCCAAAAAAACCTAAACCCCCATCGACGTTCTTCGTCACTTTTGCCCAAAACGCTGAATTGCAGGCAAGTGCCACCACGCCCGGCCCAACCGCCCCCCACCGCTCCCCGGCTCGCTGACGGGAAATGCAAAATGTGCACGACGCCAAGCCACGATTGATCGGAGTCCTGATTTAAACGCAGACTTGGCAAGGACACGAAGGCTCTTCCGAGAGCGAGTCGTGAACGCCCGAGGTCCATTCCTCGCGGAATGCGCAAAAAACCCAGCGGATCCACCCAAGTGCCGTCGTCCCCCCCATCCCCCAAATGCGTTAGAGATCGGGATGTGCTGATCTGCTCCACACTGACCGCAGTCGGTGATGTTTCTGCCTTTAGATCAAGTAAGCGTACAACCTGGTGATCATGCGTTCGTTAAATCGTCCCCGAAGTCGGCCCCTTCGCTTCGGTGGGGGGGTTGGAGCTATCACTCCCCCCCCCAACCCCCCCCCCCCAACTGCCAAAAGCTCAGCCCCAATGCTAAATTGTGATCGTCGAGTCAATAAATTGTTGGTACAAAATGTTAAAATGTCGAACAATTTAAGCGATGGGCACGCAGCCTTTCAGCATATACACTGGGGAGATGGGGGCTGAGCTGGGGCAGAATTCACAAGAGACAAAGGCAGATTTTAGCGTCACCCATTCTGTTTAGCGTTACACGAAGTCTGTTTAACATCGTGTCAAGCCCCCTGAGTGTTTGTACCCCTCCCCCCGCACCCCTTAAACAAGGTCATCTTACAGGGTTGCCTGAGCGGCGTGTGTGGGGAGCGGGAGCGCAACTGTCCTGCCTCCAACCACCCCCTCGGTCAACTCGGTCTCAAACGAGTACCTGGTTGCGATGTGTAAACATCGCCACTGGGAAGACAAAGGCGGCCGGGCGTGGTGCTGGCCATCCACCCCGTCGTGTGCCGTGCCCGCCGGCCTTGATGTGTGCTCGCTAAACAGCACTTGCCCCAACAGTCTGTTAAGCCTATATGGGTTAGGGGGGGGGGTTGGGGTCTTGGGTCTTTGGCTTTGTGCAACACACCAACAACTTACTTGCTCAGGTAGAGGTTCGGTGTGATCTGGGCAATGCTCGGTAGGCTCGCCATGCTGTGTCGTTGCACGAAGCTTCACTTCCCCTTCCCGATGCGATGCCGAGCCACCGAGGCGCCAATGTCCATCGGCAGGAGCCGGCTGTTTCACTCCACTCCCCCGCAGAGCATTGTGTGACCTGTCGGCGAATATATATTTATTCATCTACATCTATTCTCATCCGTACGCCATAAAGTGGTCAGCTGTTGTCCAGGCTCCTAGGTGTCGCGCGTCAACAACAAAAAGGGTGCAGGGGTGTTTAATGCTTCGCGTGATTTAAACGCGGGTGGGCCACACGATGAGATGGGCTGCCGGATGATATTCGGTCCGCGTGCCCTTGGGAGGCTTGCAATTGAGCTGCGGGGCGCACCGGGTTTTGAGGATCCAGTCCGGCTGAGTGGCTAGACGGCACGGAACCCCCCCCTCCTCTCCTCTTTGCAGGAGATTTACGGATGACGCCCCCGGTTTAAAATGCTCCTGTGGATCTGCCGTTTCAATTTAACCAATGGCGTTTCCCATTTTGAGTTACGAGGCATCGCAGCTGTTTCGAGGTCATATTCTCAACAGATGACATCAGAGGCATCACTCGGGAAGGGAGTGTGGAGGTGGACAGTTGTCCCCCCCCGCCCCTTGCATTTTGTAGATGACCATTGTACGTCATGCACCACTTTTTGAGATGTTCGTATTATATTCTTAGGTTTTTTTCTTTTTTCGGTAAAGTCACGTAGGTACCTACGTGACTTTACCGAAAAAAAACCCCTAAGAATATGAATCCTTGCAGTCACGAAAGCTTCAAATCTAGAATGTTCGTATTACATAGACACACACCTATGAATTAGTACTGTTGGGGTAGACGTATTTATCTGGGTGTGCCGGTGAATGACGTCACTGGGTGCAGGCTCGCTGTTGAGATGAGGTCACCATCGTAAATATTTGCTTCTCTTCTGTCACGTGGCTGGGTCTGGGTGGAGTGTCACCAGTCGGTGGGAGCGCGCGTCTGGAGGGTTTTAAGCACATTCATGGCGCCGAAAGGTTCACTCACTTTGCTATGTGAACTCTAAGTTCGATTCCAGGCCAACTTTAGTGGGCGAGTGGTATCTGAACTGGTACCTGGGCTACGCCTGACCTAGAAAACCTAAATTATGTTGACGTATTATAACGTTATTGTATTTTACGTTGTAATATACAACACGATATGTTTATTAAATAATTATTATTGCATGTGTAGCCAGCCTCCCTTGCTCCCACTTGTTTGCTGTCTGCCTCCACCAACCCACACTGACCAGTGTGGTGAAGTATGGTCAAACACAGCCCACATGATTGTGGATTGACTATTTTTATTATTCACATTTAGTAAAAGCCCAAAGGCCAGCCATGAAAATTGGGAATGATGAAGAGGCTCGTAAGAGGGCAGCCTCATACGTACATGCTACATTAAACTATTTTTTATTTTATTAATAAGGCCCACTGAGCTATATAGCTATTTTCAGAAGCGATCAGGCCACAAATGATAGCTCAACTAAGTGGCTTATCAAGTGGACATTTTTTCAACCAAATACTCCAAACGCATGTTTTTAAATGTGGAGGGAAAACCCGGGGGACCCGGAGAAAAATCCACGCGACCACGTGGAGAACATGCAAATTCCAAATATACAGACGTCAGGGGTCGGGGGTCGGGATCGAACCCACAACCTCTTGTGTACCAGGCGAGGTAGTTAACATCTCGCCACCGCGGCGCCCCCATGCAGTGCTCACGGTCCCAGAAAGTGAGCGTCAGCAAGCCGCACTCTAGCACACGCCTATAAATAATCGCGAGGCAGCTGCATGCACACCCGGCATGTGTCATTCAGAGCTCCGCGTTAAATCGCACCGCAGCAGAACAATATCGATGACCATGGTGAATTCCGTCGGTGGGAGTAACAATGAAAGTCGCTGCCCGTTTTTAGCTGCACGTCGTGTTTTAAATACGTTTCGGCTGTTATCCGATCTCAGTAGACGCGCCCGCCATTTCGACAGATTCTCTTCTGCATCCACGTGACTGGTAAACGGTGGTGCCAGGATATGATTTTGACAGTCGATTGCGTCAAAAAGTGGGTGGAAGAGTTAGCCAAAATATCCCACACAGGGGGTCCCTCTCGAGCTCCTCGCAGTGGAGGGGCCTACCATCGGCAGTGGCGTCAGCAAGATATTTCAGGGCTGTATAGCTTCATATAGCACTAGCATAGGCCGACATGTCCTTGAACGTGACTCGTTTGGCATCGGCAGGCATTGTTTATCAGGACGTCAATGTCAGCTGACACAGAGGATGTGTGTTCTGCACTCCCGTCCGTCTACGTTTGTGTGGCCCCTTGCTTTGTGCGAGAGAACTTAGAAAGCTACTGCACGTCCACAGTGTGTTTGTTTTCGGTTGATCCTGCAGCACCGTATCAACAACGGGCATACTTAACGACTACACACACACAGGCTGGCTCATTCTACACATTGTATCCCATGGCTACGATGGGCCATTGAGTTTGACAATTCCATGACCCAACCTCGAAGGTGTGGTTCTACAAAACAAAATATCAGTTAAAAATGTAATGTATTTTTAACAAAAATCATTATATATGTTTTTCTCACTTCAGAAGCAAGTACATCGACAATACTGAACGAAATGCTCTGTTTCTACTCCCCCCTCCTCCACTTATGCATGGGAATGATTGCTTTTATTACCAATTTCAATATCGATATATTATACAATTGTCATTAATTTCGAGGTTTTGACTTAACTTTCGTGACTGCAGGAATTCATATTCTTGGTTCTTTCGGTAAAGTCACGTAGATAGGAAATAAAAAATAACAATTTTTTAAAAAATAAAAATGTATTTTTACTATATTTTATTACGTGACTTTACCGAAAGAACCAAGAATATAATTTAGAGGTGTTTAAAAACGTAATTTCGTTTTTATGTGGAACTGAAATGTAGAGAGGAAGAAAGCTTGCATTGAAATCTGGATCGAATAATAATTAAATAACGCCTGACAACTCATTATTCCTTGTGGGAATGAAAGCCTTTGAACATCAACGGACCGAGTGCACTGCACTTCAAGGGAATTATGTCGAGATACGTGGGCTGGGTTTTTTTTTTTTTCTCCCATCAAGGTCCGTCATTGCTTTCTACGCCGGGCGTACGGATTGTTCAACCACCCATTGTACAGGGTCCATATGGTTATTTCGGCCAGAGAGACCCAGACACCTCCATCACGCGGTCGCGTGGCATAGCCTCGGAGGCCACAGAGCGGCGGGCTGCAGTTATTAACGTTCCGCTCGAGCGCTCCTCAGCCACGCTGATTTATAATTGGGGCTGCGCGCGGGCGCGCTGGTGCCTATGGCGTCAGCACCTTTGCAACATGTCACGTTTTGTGTGGGCGGAACTGCCACTCTTCACCGCGAGGCTGCAATCGGAGGCAAATTATGTTATTCGTCAATTTCACTCTGCAAGGCGCTAGAGCCGTGCCGGACCACAGGGGAAGGTTTGGTTGAAATCAAGCGTGGTGGCACACTTATTTTTGGAGGTGGCCAAACCATCCCCAATATAGGACTACACAGTTCGGACAATTGTTGGTGCCGGGTCTTGGCTACCTTTGCCGCTCGTCTGTGATTTTTTTTTTTCCACGACTCATTTCTCTCTCTCTCTCTGAGAGTGATTAGCGCTTTGGAGGCAAGGATTGGTGGATCACCGTTGAAAATCTGGAAACCCTTGCAGGTAAAATATTTTTCGAAATAAAAAAAGTCAAGTATACTTTTGATACTCCCATAACCGTCGAGTTGAAAGGGTGGGTTGCCAACTCCTGAGGTGCAAAAAAAAAAAGACCCACGAAAATAAATGGGGAGATTGAAAACTCACGTTACCAGAAGAGGGGAGAACTAAATGTTGATGCGTTGTCATGAGTGGCGCATTATTATTTCACAACTGACAGAAATCGGGCCTTGTAATGTCGCAGGCACACTTTTGCATATGACCCAGGGCATCCGCCTAAAAAGACGATTTATTGAAAATCAAGACATGTAGCAACCGCACAGCAAATGGTTTTGTGAATCCGTATGCGCGTGGGCCTTTGAGTCGTTACTCCCCTCGTATGCGTGAGTTTTCATGGCGGATGTTATTTTCTCCGACATGCAAAACGCTCGTTACGTGGCATTTGCCAAACAACCCTATTGAAAAAGGGAATACAGTACCAGCAATGCTGGAAGATAAACATTCGTATCAAATAGGCAGGAGCGCTTATCATATTGCTAGCATGGCACGCGCAATGAACGAAATCTCGTATCTGAAAATGTCTCTAATGTTTACAAAAATATAAAATGCACATGCCTCGTATATATGTTATATATTTTTCAGATGTCCCTAAATGAAAGACCTTTGAATGAATAAGTTGGTGTCATCTATGTATATAAATAAATAACTTCATCTGTATGTCTCAAAAAACTCTACGGTGCTTCCCGACAATGTAGAAAGCTGAAATTTGGACACAAACAACAGGAACAATCTGAAAATCTGAGATTTTTCATTTTAAGGCCCCCAAATCTCGATTTTAAGTGCCCCATAAACATGTTTGTGCATGTCATTCAGAAACCGTTCAAAATATAATATTGCGGGTTTTGTAGTTTGATAGAGCATTGAACAGCAAATACAATTAAAGCGAGAAACATTGTTCCATCTTTTTTTATACTTTGGATTCAAGCGGTTTTTAACTAAAAAAAATACACATTTTACCATGTTCAAATCTGAATAATTCGAAAGCGGTAAAATATAGGAGCTTCCCCCCCCCCATAGACTATTAAACTAATTGATGTTTGTTCTTTCTCATAAAAAAGAATGGAATCTGAGCGGTTTCCGGTGGATACGTCTTTAAATATAACAAGTTGAATCAAGTCGTCAACAATTATTTTTTGTGGGAAAAATACACATTAGTGTCCTATCGTCGATAACATTTTTAAAATATCATAGGCTCATTACTATATGTATTGCAAACGTTTGCCTGGCAAAGACAGGCTTCATGAACTAGTTTGAAATAAAAACCAAAACACAAATAAGCTGGAAACCTGATAACCGCGTACGATCCGTTCACCTTTGTGAATAATTTATGTGTAAAGCTAGAAGGTTTTTAGAGACAGTGAGCGACTGGGATGAACACAAAAGCGATTTCAGAGACAGCGATGACACTTGGGAGCGAGTGTCCATCGATGCGGTGGGGTGGGGGGGCGGTGGAGTGGTGGTCAGTGTGCTCCGCTACGTACTCAGCGACCTGCATTTCTTTCATGTGTTTCCTAGTCGCGGCTAACATCAGTTGTCAGTGAAATCTGGCGCAGGGCCCTCCCCCCTCACCAACCCCCTCACCAACCCACACAGACCAGTATGGTGAAGTATGGCCAAACACCTCCCCCCCCCCCCCACCAAGACCACAAGTCTTTCGGTGGCCAACATCCAGGAGGGTTATTGACAAAGGGGCCCCGTGAAATACTCTTGGTCGCTCCGGTTTCCGATTGCACCGTCCAAGGATTGTTCAGTTGTCGTGCCAGGAAAATTCACGGTGGGTGTCGGGGACAGGCAAATAATTGGGGTGGTGGTCCATCTCCTCTTTTACATCACTGAGCTAAGCGGTGTAAATCCCATATTTCTAAGGCCCCGGGGAATATTGTCAGATGGGACACCACTACCGAGATGTAGCTTCCCCCATATATCAACATGTGTAGATGCTGGAGCAGCGAGTTGTCTGGACACACACACTGTATTATCGACCGCCGGGCCACATCATGGCTTGCGTGTGAGCAAAAGAAGAAACAGCACACGAACAGAAATGGAGCTGATTGCGCCAAACCCGAAACTGTGGAGTCCGGCGTAAACTGCGTAATAACATGCGCGCTTTGTCTCCAAACCAGAATGTATGTATTGTATTACAAGGCACGTTCACACGCCTATCTAGATTTGCATTCCCTGTCCGAAGCTGCACTAATGCTAATACCACGCCTGCGTGTATTCATACAATAGGCCTACATTTTGTGTGAGTGTATCCCATGACTTGTTAAGAAATGTACATTTTATTGCAGTTTTTTATACTCAAAAAGGCGTATTTGTAATTTTTAAAAGTGTATATATACGGTATAAAAAAAACCTGTCAATCCACTGTTGGATGAAAGGCCTCGCCAAGGTGCCAGTCATGATGGTTTTTGACCTTACTTCACCACGCTGGTCGGTGTGAGTTGCTGAAGGAGATTAGCACGGTTGGCTCCGTACGGTGCGAAAGAAGTTCAACATACACACACACGGGGTGGAGGCCAGGACCGGTTCAGATATCACCTCCCGCTCGTGATGGCCACAGACAGGCACGGCCGATCTCACCGTTCCATTCAACAATAATAATAATAATAACAACAATAACATTAAAATTCGATTTAAAGCTTTCGTGACTGCAGGGATTCATCTTCTTGGTTTTTTCGGTAAAGTCACGTAGAAGGGAAGTAATAAAATAATAAAAATAAAACATAAAATAATTCTCACGACGTTTCGGCCACAACGCAAGCAGCCGTCCTCGGGTGAAGAACAGGTCTGTCGGTGAAGAACAGATCTGTCGGAAAGACAGACCTGTTCTTCACCTGAGAACGGCTGCTTGCGTTGTGACCGAAACGTCGTGAGAATTATTTTATGATCTTTTTATTTTTCCTTCGACGTGACTTTACCGAAAGAACCAAGAAGAACAATAACCTTGTACACAACGCCGCAAAATCTTCTTACCTGAATCACTGCGCTTGCCGGGCCACTTGACGGTTACGCAGCCACCACAGTTCGCCTGCAGCCGAGGCTGGGTTGGCGAGTGCGGTGGGTGGGTGGATGAATAGGGGGGAGGAGGAGAGGCGAACCGAGCGACACGGATGACAATCCCAGCGCGCGGCTGTTGTCTGCCGTGTCCCTGGTGACGGGCGCACGGACGCACGCGTCTCACGCACGCCGGGCGAATGCGCCGTTCCGCCGGATGGAGAGTGATGGGCGATGGGATATGGAGGATGGAGATGATGGTATTTAGTGGTGGTGGTGGTTTGTGGTGATGTTTGCCCGACGGCGGCTATGCCCTCTAATCGTGGCGCGCGCCCCACCCCGTGTGCCTTGGCGCGGTTGTGCGTGCGTCCGTGCGTCCGTGCGTCTGTTTTGCGTTCTCAGCGATCGTCCCCTCTCCCTCTCTCCCTCTCGATCTCCCTCCCCCCCGAGCCCGCCACTTGCACTTCCCCCCCTTGGCAACACCCGTCGGCTCATTCACGCCGTCTTCTTAGCAACACACGTACACACGCAAGATGCACGCTGGCCAAATGGAAATTCACTACCAAGTTGCAATTTGCCCACCCACCTCGTTGCCAACCGTGCGAGCGTGTGCCAGTATCAGGGGATAGACCCCCCCCCCCCCACCCCCGATTCCATTTGGCTAAACGTCGGCAATGATAGGTGGGGCGAGTTCAGATATAATAGCACACGGCTCGGGGTGTAGAATACTTAACACGGTTTGTTTGGTCCAGTTATCTACGAGTGTCTCGGAATGGAAATGCAAGCGGAACCCACTGGTAGCTCAAGGCCGGCTTGCCTCGTCACTGTTTAAGCCGAGGGTCTTAAGTCCCTAGACCACTAAAAAATATACATTTACAAAAATACAAAAATTGCTTGTTTGCCTGTATACACAGAAACAAGGGCTAATGACGTGGTGCAATTATTTATGACTTCCCATGCAGTTGAAGTGACGAGCAAGTTTCTTAAATCCACCGCCACTCCAGCCTGTCCCGTCAAGCTGTGTAAATCCACGGGTATGCCAGTTGTTCGATCGGCACACGGTTTGGTCATTTATGTTGAACATTTAACAGCCAAACATGTGTGCTGTACAGTAATTTTGAAAGTGTCTCCTCTATACTGACTTGTAGTTATGCAATACGATTGTTAGTGCAGTGCTTATTCTTAGGTTTTTTCGGTAAAGTCACGTAGGTAAAAACATTAAAAAGTAAAATAAAATAAAAATAAAAATCACGACGTTTCGGAGGCAACACAAGCTTCCGTCTTCAGGTGGTACCGTCACAGCCACGACAGCTGTATCAAGTACGGTACCACCTGAAGACGGACGCTTGTGTGGCCTCCGAAACGTCGTGATTTTTATTTCTATTTTATTTTATTTTTTAATGTTTTTACCTATGTGACTTTACCGAAAAAACCTATGAATATGAATCATTGCAGTCACGAAAGCTTCAAATCTAGAATTAAGTGCAGTGCTTGTTTGAACTTCGTGTATATTTTAGTCAATGTTTAATGTAGACGTTTGTTTATATTTACAGATAGTCTGCCCGTTTTAATAATGGATTCACCTTCTTTCGTATGGGATTTGAAAGTAAAGCACCAGGCTATAATTGTATGTTGGATGTTGTGAGCCATTCCATTGCATCCGAGGTAGCTGAGCGGAGTCGGCTTGTTCCACCAGAGTACGCGTTGAGTCTTGGGATAGCTGAGTGGAATAGACGGCTCGTTCTATCAGAATATTGTATTTATTAGGAAGCCACTGGAACCTATGAATTGAAAACTAATTTCTTGTGTTTAGTTTGTTGCCATTCCCCCACACCTCCGGTTACCACGGTTGGCTACGTACGGTGCGAAAGAAGTTCAACATACATACATGCATACATAGCTCAGTGGAGTCCGCTTGTTACGTCAGAATCAGAACCGGCCCTAGACCTTTGGGGGCCCTAAGCAAAATTTGGTTGGAGGCCCCTTTGATGTATGATTTTTTTCACCCACGAGCTAGCAGTGACTCTAGGGGGCCCTCTGCTGGCCATGGGGCTCTTTGCAATTGCAAGGGTCGCTTAGTGGCTGGGCCGGCTCTGGTCAGAATACATGCGTTTGTATTAGGGCAGTCATCGGTGATATACGCCTTATGGTTTGTACCTCACAGCATTCGCAGTTTGACGAGTCCCCCCCCCCAGATCATTCCATCTCTGGAGGGAATATCCACACCGCCTTGCGCGTGGTGTTGTTGTTGTTGGGACGTGGTTGTTGAGAGCGGTCCCCACTGTCGTGGGGGCAGCAGAGGGAACCCGGGGCTGTTCCTTCGTTGGGTCTCCAAACAAGAATCTCACACTGGTGCCGGTGATCTGCGGTTCTCTCAAGGTCTTCAATAAAGTTCTTGTTTGGGACACCACGGTTTTCCCCTACCCCCACGGATTGAAGAATCTGTCGTGTCTGTGTGTGGGATGGATGACCGTAGTGGCCCAAACGTGTACAGGGTTCACACTGGACAGTCGCACAATTCAAACTGACAGCAGAGGCCCAGACGGGAAACTGAAATCGCATTGCAAAAATGTTTATTTTCCAAAGTGAAACGTGATTATAAACATAGCACTCACACATTTACTTCAAGTGTGCCACATTTTATTGTGAAGTGGTTGGATTTTAAATAAAAAAAGTATATTCTTTGGTTCTTTCGGTAAAGTCACGTAGATAGAAAAAAACCCCACGACGTTGCGATTGCAACACAAGTGGGTCGTCATCAGGAAAAGGGGGTTATAGCCTCTAAAGGCAAACTGTTTATCTATATATATATAAAATCGCAAATCTGTCTGTGTGTCGCCGGACCATACGCAGTTTCATTGGACGAAATGTGAGGGATTTGCGAGACACAATTGGTCCGTTTGGTTTTCCACGGCGGTTGCCCCTGGCAACGGGTAGCGACGCATTCGCTGCGGGGTGGACGCCATTTTTAATTCCCGTTAAAAATATGCGCACGCATTAACACGCGACTCTGAGGTAAATTCATCAAAGTTTCACGTCCTCTTCACTCCCCCCCCCCCCCCCACCCCAATGTGTGCAATTACTATTATAGGGTCGGTAGATAATAAAATTATAGCGATTAGACAGTATTATTGTAGCGCGGGGGGGGGGGGGGGGGGGTAACGGCCCCAGTACCCAGCCTCAGCCGGGTGGGCAATTTAGGCGAGGCCGGAGGCTCTGCACGGTACTAGGCCTCGACACCCCACCACACTATAGGCCGTACATATTACTGCACAGCGGCCGAGGAGATCGTGGCTGGGGGGGGGGGGGGGGGGCAGGGGTAGCAGCCCATCTGTGTATATATGTAAGGTTATTAAGAAATATTTTTTTCACCCGGGCAACGCCGGGTACTTCTGCTAGTAAAGGTTTAAAATGGGCGTAGCCCAAGTGTCAGCAGCATGGGCGGGGCAGCTAATGTTAATGTAAGTGATGGTCAACGACGGCGCTGATGGTGGGTTTCCACCAATTAAAAGGGCTGCCAAGTAAAAAAATTTAACCTGTTAAATTTCTCACACCAACACAGCCACCTCCGCACGCCGACCTCGGCGTGGCGGCGACTCTGCGATCTCACATTAACATGATAATCTCTCACATTAACATGCTAATCTCTCACATTAACATGCTAATCTCTCACATTAACATAGCCACCTCAGCACGCTCGCCGTGGAGGCTGCTCTCCAATCCTACATTAACATGCACATTTTTACCTGGCAGCCCTTTTTAATTGGTGGAAACCCACCACCAACGCCGTCGTTGACCATCACTCACAGCTGCCCCACCCATGCTGCTGACACTTGGGCTATGCCCATTTTAAACCTTTATAAACAGTTTGCCTTTGGAGGCTATAACCCCCATTTCCTGATGACGACCGCTTGTGTTGCGATCGAAACGTCGTGGTTTTTATTATTATTTTTATCTACTTGACTTTACCTAAAGAACCAATAATATAAATTCCTGCAGTCACGAAAGTTAAGTAAAAAATAAATTGGCTTAAGCACTGGCCAATGTTTGAAATGTGTACATCAAAATTCACTTAAGCTAAGACTCGGCTCAGGCAGCTAACAAAATATTTCGCGTGACGGATGAACGCAAAACGGATAGTCATAAAACCAAATAACAGTCATGTCCCTGGTGCAAGTGTGCTTTAATAACCACAGTGCAAAAAAGTACAAAACCGGTGGTGGCCGCAGAATTATGTCGGAGGGCGTGAAATTGAAGTGAGGCGTTGCTTGTCATGCAATTGTTTTACCCATCGATATTTACTGAAGTGTAAAATTCATTCAGTGTTTTAAAACACTGGCTTTTATCGAGACCGAAACAATTGTATTCGTTATACTTTATGCTGTTTCATTTTTGACATCTACCACTGGTTTTGTTGTCCAACGATCATGTCCAAATTTGTCACTGGAATATCGAAGGCGAAATGGTGGAGACATTGCTTTATGTAAATTGCCACATGTGCTATGAAGAAGGGCCATTGCCTGAAACGTTGCCGAACATATATATTATTTTTAAGGCAGTGTTGTTGACGAGTGCGAGTTATTTTTTTTCCACCATATGATAACGGTTGCTTGTGTTGTTTAGGGTCAGTTTGTGGTATTCATTGTAATACTTTGGCAGTCTTACTACCCTAGATTTTAGGCTCTTCTTAGTTACCCCATATACCAAATATTTGTAAGTGTAACTGTTAATGTTACGAAATGTGTTTTGAATATACGTCGAACTCTACAAAACATTATTATTGTTGTGTATTAACTATTCCATCAATAGTACGAATGTAGAGTTGTTCATTCAGCGAAATTGACGTTGTGCGGAGAACTTTTTTTTCTCACACAAAACATTGTGTAGAAATGCCACTGCAGGTCGTACATAAATTCTGCCAGACACACAATTTATGTCTTTAGTATTTTCGACTGGTTATTATGCAACAGTTACCACCAAATAGCATTCAGCCACGTTGAACGAAAAACAAAACGGTTTACCAAAGCCGCCACATCCAACTCAAAGTTGTGCAATATTTTAGAATCTCGAAACTAATTTGATGCAACAATCTCACTTTTTGACTTAATATTACAGATCGAGCAGCATTAAAAAGGCATTGTGGGTCAGCTTCGTATGCTCCGAGTAAGAGATTTTACTCCGATATTATTTTCGGCCCTACCAATATTTACATTTCTTTATCACCCCAGTCCTGTAGCATGGATCTTGCCTGGCTATGTGACGGTAACCCAAGAGGCGTGAGTGGGAGAGAAACATTTTAGGATCGGACCATACGGTCTTACCCAAAACGTAAACGCTCTCCAGCTATAAAAACGTGGCAGTGTGCGGGCGCACGTAGTCGAGGTGGAACGATTATGAATCGAATCATCCATATAATATATATTCCTTGGGCTCACATTATGTGCACTGAATCATCCGTAAGAATCAAAGCTTTTATTTTTTTGCGATTGTTTTATTTAGTGGCGTTTATTTCACTCCTGCAGCCACTTAGTGGTGCTATTATTCTTAACGTTAAACAAAACTTAGTCTTTTTCTTTAAGAAATAAAGTTGGTGTTTTTAATTTCTTTACAATTTGTTCCAAATGTGCTATCGGTACCCTGTGTGATGACACGAACAGGCCCATTTGAAACCTCGCACAGTTGTTCTCTCTCGGATCAGAAATCGTGTGCAGAAAATATTTTTTGCAGGACACATTCCAAAACAAAGTGTCCTGAAAATGAATTGATTCTTTAATCGAATCGTGACCATTCACAAACTTGCCAGGGGGATTGAATTATCCGACCTCTTCTATGTGGCACAGCAGATGTCTGTACAGAATAGGGCTGTGTACATGTTATTTATAAATGTCTCCGTCAATAACTTTGATATAATCATGCCTCTCTCGGAATTAGCTTCAGATGCTTATTTTGTTGCTTTCTTAATTATATCTCATAATCAACGTTTTTGGGTTTAGATCGCGTTATTTATAAATGTGTCGTAACCCTCCACCACCCGACACGGCCAATCAGTAAAAAAGTGTCACGTTGACAAAAGACAAATAGTTCACTGCTTTAGCCCACCGGTGTGTTGAAGCGTGAAACCACAACATTTACAATCTGCATCCAGCATGCAATTACCAGCGAAACGTCGTACTCAAATTGTAAATGTTGTGGTTTCACGCTTCAACACACCGGTGGGCTAAAGCAGTGAACTATTTGTTTTTTGTCAACGTGACACTTTTTTACTGATTGGCCGTGTCGGGTGGTGGAGGGTTACGAGACATTTATAAATAACGCGATCTAAACCCAAAAACGTTGATTATGAATAATATTGGTCGCGAAAGCCTACGTGTTAAACTGACTAACCTCTATGGGGAGGATACTTTGCTTTAATTTTTATAACTGCTTTATATTTTTTTTTTAGGCCTCTGTTTGTGAGAGCTTGGATGACTGCATCTATTTCCACCAAGTCAGATTCCTCTCCATAGTCGGGAAGGACCAGAGCACAAGGCACCTCCTGAGTTTCATTTGAACGTTAACTTGCCAATATTGTGAAATTTGTTATTATATTCAATTAAGTCTTTTGCAGGATCTATTTGATAATGCAACCCTTCATCCGGCAGTAGATATATCATGATGTACACGATGTTCTACGAGACCCACGATGGGGTAGTTAGGTTATAGGCGTAGGGTTAAAGAAAAGCAGTGGCTTGTTAATTGGAGCAGTTGATGTGGATCCGATGTTTATGAACAGAATATTCTGATTTGGACATAATTAGAGACACCCACATATGATCAAACACTGGCAAAGATGGGTGGTTGTTATTATTGTAGGTGATCATAGGCCGTGCTCATGAAGCTGCCATTGAAGGCGTAACAATTCTAATAATTGTCAGGATGACTGCGCACATTGTCATGATTCTGGAGATTATTGGATGCATTGTGATGAATGTAGCGGCTATGAGTCACTGCAGGGGGCTACATGAACTCATTACATACAACATATACACATGGGGGGGGGGGGGACATTCTTGCACACGTGATTCGATGGATGTTTTGTCAACTTAAGAAGCTATATGAATTGATGATTCAATGCATCGTCGCATCGCTGTTTAAGAACACGGCAAGTGTTTGTGAAGATCGTTCCATTGTGGCTTTAAAAAAGAAAAACGCAAGTGCATAACCCCAACGGCGTTTAACGAGGCATAAATGTGGTAATGGTAGGAGTAAGTGCACGTAAACTACACATTTAAAACACACATTTCTTCGCTTTAACCTGAAATAGATTTTTACACGTAAAACAGATCTGGTGACAGCTAAGGACACAGCGGAGCTCTGTAAATAATCGGCAGTACCCCTGTCAGTTGGTTTTATGGGACGCTTAACAGGAATTATTGTATGAATGTCTTACAAATTGCTTAATTAGCTCATTAAATTGTCGGCTACTGAAATTGCCGCTGGCTATGGGATGAAGCCAAAATGTCAAGTGAACAAAAAGGAATATTTTGTGTAATGTTATTGATGTCATAACAAAATACAGCAATTACTTATGAGTGTCAGCCTTATAGGTGCATTGTATAAAGGGTATTACGAGCATGGTAAAATATGTACATGTTATAAAGCATCGGGGCAGGTTCCACAAATTTGACCTCGGTCAAAATAATCCTCGTGAAACACGTGGGGGTGTCACTTTGAAGGTAATTGTAGTTTTAGAAAATATGGCTTATTTGTGGATTTAATTAATGGGTTGACACGTACACAAAAAACGTAATGCACCATCAGTATCATCCCAGCACGGATGAAACAGTTGGATCGTCTCGGCACGTCCGACACTGCGGTAGTTGGAGCATATCTTTCTTATGGGTAATAGGGTTTATCTGAATTACAATCCCAACTGGTTAAAATACTGTACATCTGAAGTTTGTGGGACTGCCCTGCAAAGTCCCTCGCTGAATCAGCACTGTATATGTAACATAACTTTTTCATGGTGACATTACAATAATTCATAACAAAAAATGCTTATAGCCACAACAAATAATAATAATCCACTATGTACTACTACTAACTACGCAATAATGCCTTAAATTGAACGGTTTTTTTTTACAATTACATAAGTGCAAATCTAATTACGTAATTTCAGCTCAAAAGAGGTGGCTGCCACGTTGCTTAGAGTTCCAGTGTACAGTACTGTATATCGCAAACGCGAGGTGATTTGCAGCGGACTTGCACCAAAACCCCAATGTCTCTGACGTATGTTAGGTGGTTGGAGCAGTGGTCAAAGTCAAGGCATTGATTTGTTGCTCAGCTCCTGTTTACAGCCTTGAGCCAGTTGTGGAAATTCCTCATTATTATGGCAAGGGCAAGTCTGTACATAGAAGAAGCCTACCGTTAACTTCCCCCATAAAGTGGTACTCCTTTTATCGATGCCGGAGGGATGATGGGATCGAGTCAACCTCCAACCAGGATCTCAACTATACTCTTTGTTTTTTTTCGGTAAATTCACGTAGGTAAAAAATTAAAATAAATGAAAACAACCGCTTAGGTTGTGCGTTCGCTACGTTGTCCCCACCTGAAGGAGGACGCTTGTGTTGCGCCCGAAACGTCGTGATTTCATTGAATTGTTTTCATTTATTACATTTTTTTACCTACGTGACTTTACTGAATCCTTGCAGTCACGAAAACTTCAAATCTAGGATCTGAACTCAAACCTTCTGATTGCGAGCCACTCACTCTGCAGTTGAGGCACCTGGCTGGTTGTGGCCAGTGGTACTGCTGAGGATTCCCTAAGGCTGCAGACACTGAGGTCCAGGACTCGTGGCTAAACAGTCCCAATGCACCACACGGGATTTAACTACAGTGGGTCTAGAAAATTTAGACACCGGTGGATTTGAAATTAAGATACAAAATTCCTGGAGATGGGGACTTGAGAATTGAATAGGGTTGTCACCCTCCCGAGGTACAAAACACAGGACGTCGCACGAAGGATGATACATCTCACAATGTCGCATCACAAGAGTGCACGACTGTAATTCTCTGGACTATAGGATGCTCCGGGAAGAAAGCCTCGCCCAAAAAACGTGTGCCCGTTGTCCAAAAAGGTCAGATGAATCTGGTCACACAGATAAGCGCACAAAGACTCAAATACATAGCGCACGCCACCCCGCCCCCCCCCCCAAATTTTGCTTTTAAATACAAAAGGGGGGGGGGGGTAAGTGCATGTTATAATCCAGAGAATCTGGGACATGGGTAGTGTCTTTCTGTTTAGTGGTGTGTGTATGTCATCCTTCTTGTCCGTCGACGATCAGGCAACTGACAAAAGCAATGACGACTCTTGATGTCCTGGGTATGTAGACTTAAAGATTTCCCAGGATCAGGTACCTCAAAAAGTGGCACAATCGTGGGAAAGTCAGGAAAAGGTGGCAGCCAATGTGAATGTTTATGACGGTGGTCACTCTACTGGTGGTTACACACCCACACTGGGGGTGTCAACGCACCTGCATTTCACCTCTATCAAGAATTATTTCAATTTTTTTACACAACAACGAGTGCAAACTACGAGAAGTGCTGGCTAAAAGTGCCGTAAGAAACGAAACAGCATTTAAAAAGCCACTTTGTTGTTGTTACATTATTCTGAAAACGTGAACGTGATTGTCAACAACAACAAAAACAAAAAACCACCGAGACAATAACCATAACCAGAGCTGCAGCATAAAACGCAGAGCGCGATATCAGTAAAGGCCAACCACGGGGAGTGTGAGTGAGCACATTTCTTTACACGGTACACCTGGTGGCCACCAGGCCCTCAAATCCCACAACGGCTGCCCCCCTTTACTCCGCGTCAGCTGCCCTCCGCTGCCCGGCGTGCCCCGGGTCCCGTGCGCCGCTGCCGCTGCCACCGCCACCCCGCGGCGGGCTCTCTGCGCCGCTGCCCTCCGCGGACACCCGGCGCGAGCTGCCCGTGCTGCTCGGCATGGGCAGCTCTTGAACGCTGCTGCTGCTGTTGCTGCTGCAGCTGCGGGCCTCGATCGATGCTCGACGGGTGCCGCCGTCCCTCGTGCCGCCCTCTGCCGACACACGTCGAGGGCTGCTCTGAGCGCTGCCCCCTGCAGTCAGAACGCGGGCGCAGCTGCTGTTGGCCACGATGGATATTTTACGTCCGCCGCTGCCGCCGCTTCGAAAGTGCAGCTTGCAGGGGCTGTAGTTGCTGACCCACGAGGAGATGCGGCAAGGGCTGTTGCTGCCACCTGCAGACAGGATTCGGCTGCGGCTGGTTTTCGGGAGAGGATTGCTGCTGCTTGTACCGCTGCTGATGCTATTGCTGCTGCTGCTCCTGCTCCTGCCGCTGCCATCCGCCGTACAAGCCGCGCTGTTCTTGACCTGCTGAGCCTTTGTTCGGAGCCTGTGCACAGGTGTCGCGGGCACGGTTATGAAGGGTGAATGAAGGTGCAGCCCCTGCGATTCGTCTTGCTCTCACGCCACTGCTGACAGACGGGCTCACGCCGCTGGATGGAACTCGGAGAGAGAGGTCAAACATCCCCCCCAGAGAGAGTTAATCTCTCTCTCTGGGGGGGATGTTTGACCTGGTGGTCTTCCACACTGGAAATAACGTCTCGAGAAGAGGGGCGAGGACCCACACTCTAGTCCAAATCTGTCGATGGACTCTGTTCGTACAGTACCTTTTGCCTGTATGTTGCTGGGTGGATGGAGGGGGATTTAAGTTGTGCCCCCCCCCCTCCTGCTCCACTAACCTGCGCTGACCAGCGCGTGGTGAAGTATGGCCAAACAACCCCCGACGTGGAGAGGAGGCCTTCATCCAGCAGTGGATCCCCCCCCCCCCTTTATTGTAAACACAGTTGCTTGCGTGCAGACTTCAAAGGCCCCCAAAAAACCGTCAGGTGGACAACAACACAACGGCGCTGTCAAATTTGTAATAGATAAGAGAAAAAAAACGCTCCTTGACTTGAGCAAAGGTTATAAAGTGCTCGGGGGTGGGGGGGGGGGGAGAGACCCATGGGATGGATTTCAAAAAGCTTTGGGCAATGTGGGGGACGAAGCGGAAAGAAAAGTGTTTTGACCCTCAGTTGTGGTGGTTGAGCACAGGGTGGAAAAGATGAGCGGAGCTGTACAAGGTCAGAGGTCACACAAATGACACAATACCTTTCATGGTTTCCCTCGTTGCAAGACAGTGGGTGGGTGCCGGGCTTGCTGTTTGTGAGCGCCTCCCAAATGGTAACCTGGAACGACAGAATATTTCTACAGAATGTCATTTCAATGTAGCATCAGGTGATCCTAGTGTCCCGGAGTTCTTTCCCAGCCTTCCACGTCGCACTGCGCCTGCATATCATGTATTTGAGTGAACTGTGCCAGCTAGCATGGCAACTGTAGAGCGAGCAAATCTCAATTGGACGGTAGCCAATTAAAATCCTGGTTGGAGGTTGACTTGGCCCATCATCCCACTGGGGTCGATTTGCAATGAATACCACTTCGTTGTGGGGAAATCAACAGTGGTTATTATTTTATGTAAGGATACTCGACTCCGCCATGGGAAAGTGGAATTTCTACCACGGGTTCAGGGGGCTGTACATTGGAGATGACCACCATCTTGATAATCATTTGAGCAGGATAAAAATCGCTGACTTTGTTCGGTGCCACATTCTTTCCCCACTCTTACGCAATGCACTGCTCTTATGTAATGACGTGATGTCTGCTAGTCCTGAAAGTTTATTTTTAAATTACATAATGCCATCCAACGTGATTACCACCTACACTTGTCAAGCAGAGACTACCTGTGCACTGGCAGCATTCTGATTTAATAACCAGTTCTGAAATTGACAGCCAGTCTTTGGATTTCAAAAAGTCAGCGATGTAAATTATTTGGTTTACATCAAACTAAAAGTTTTCCACGACATTAACATTTTTGGGGATTTTTCAGAAGAGGTTTAACAAACGCACTGCAAGAAACATGCACTGGAAAAACAAGAGAGAGAGAGAAAAAAGATACGATCATTATTTGTTGAAAGGTTACATAATTACACACCCATTATTTTTCATTTCTGACAATTATCGGTCACAGTTGCAGTAATTCTGTTTAGAAGAGAAGCTGAAATTAATGTCGACTGTAACATTGATTTAATTTGGAGATCAGAACAATACACTTTTTAAGGTAGAGCATGACAGAAGATGTTACTTTTGTACTGTTGGGTCTAATGGACTTGCATCCAGTTACTGTTTTGTATGCAGATCACTCGCAATTGCAACACATCAGAGATGTGTCTTCAATGAAGGATACAGGGTGTTGTCCCCTGGGCATGAAGTCTACAGTCTTTCTTTTACCACTGGATATGAAGTCTAAGTTTTCCTTAATTGTATAATGACAGGTGTGATACAAAGGCAAACAAATAATAAAAAGTGTAGGCACCTTTTTAACAAAGTAAAATACTAATTGCATTTCAAATGTGGTGTTACAGAGGAATGGAAAAAAATACTAAGCTGGTTTGATGAGAATAAGAATGAAGACATGCTGAGACAGAATGGCTACAAGCAGGAAAAATTGAAGGCCGATGTGAAGGATGCAAAGTGGCTTATACGGCACGTATCCTAAGAGGGTCATAGCTGGAGATATCAATAAGATGATTCTGTAAGGGACAATAGAAGAGGATGGATATGGACCAGTTAACAGGACAATTTGAGCAGTTGGACAGAACTTTCCTCGAGAGAAAATGACGATCACAAAATATGGAAAGAATCTGTCATGGACATCAACCCTCAAATTATGAGGACGACGCCAGACAGATAAACTACAACCCTTAGTATCGCATTGCTCAAACATATTCGTCTACTTGTTTAACGATGAGTGTAATACGGATGGACAGGAGTTCTATGAACGTTAGCTTAGCCAAACACGCTGATGTTGACTCAGAAAGACAACAACGAATTAAATCAACAGTATTGCATTGCTCAAATATTCAAACACCAAATAGATCACCTTTTTGCAAGGCATCAAGTCTGCATTAGCCACACGTACTTGTGGCAAAACATGCAAACAGACATGCTCTGATAATTATAATATGCATTGTCTTTGACCGCTCTACCCAGCTATTAATGCTCCAATACTTGCATTGTCTTTGTGCTGTTCACTCTTTGGCATTCTCTGGTCTAACACTGGTAAGACTTGGCCTAGTCTTACCAGTGTTAGACCAGAGTCTAGGCCTCGTCTTACCAGTGTTAGACCAGAGACTAGGCCTAGTCTTACCAGTGTTAGACCAGAGACTAGGCCTAGTCTTACCAGTGTTAGACCAGAGACTAGGCCTAGTCTTACCAGTGTTAGACCAGAGACTAGGCCTAGTCTTACCAGTGTTAGACCAGAGACTAGGCCTAGTCTTACCAGTGTTAGACCAGAGACTAGGCCTAGTCTTACCAGTGTTAGACCAGAGACTAGGCCTAGTCTTACCAGTGTTAGACCAGATGCTCAGTGTTAGACCAGAGACTAGGCCTAGTCTTACCAGTGTTAGACCAGAGACTAGGCCTAGTCTTACCAGTGTTAGACCAGACTAGGCCTAGTCTTACCAGTGTTAGACCAGAGACTAGGCCTAGTCTTACCAGTGTTAGACCAGAGACTAGGCCTAGTCTTACCAGTGTTAGACCAGAGACTAGGCCTAGTCTTACCAGTGTTAGACCAGAGACTAGGCCTAGTCTTACCAGTGTTAGACCAGAGACTAGGCCTAGTCTTACCAGTGTTAGACCAGAGACTAGGCCTAGTCTTACCAGTGTTAGACCAGAGACTAGGCCTAGTCTTACCAGTGTTAGACCAGAGACTAGGCCTAGTCTTACCAGTGTTAGACCAGAGACTAGGCCTAGTCTTACCAGTGTTAGACCAGAGACTAGGCCTAGTCTTACCAGTGTTAGACCAGAGACTAGGCCTAGTCTTACCAGTGTTAGACCAGAGACTAGGCCTAGTCTTACCAGTGTTAGACCAGAGACTAGGCCTAGTCTTACCAGTGTTAGACCAGAGACTAGGCCTAGTCTTACCAGTGTTAGACCAGAGACTAGGCCTAGTCTTACCAGTGTTAGACCAGAGACTAGGCCTAGTCTTACCAGTGTTAGACCAGAGACTAGGCCTAGTCTTACCAGTGTTAGACCAGAGACTAGGCCTAGTCTTACCAGTGTTAGACCAGAGACTAGGCCTAGTCTTACCAGTGTTAGACCAGAGACTAGGCCTAGTCTTACCAGTGTTAGACCAGAGACTAGGCCTAGTCGTACCAGTGTTAGACCAGAGACTAGGCCTAGTCGTACCAGTGTTCTCTGGTCTAACACTGCATATAATTATCAGAGCATGTCTGTTTGCATGTTTTGCCACAAGTATGTGTCGTTAATGCAGACTTGATTCCTTGCAAAAAGTATCTATTTGGTGTATGAACATCTTAATACCTGCTTTATTGCCAGAAAAGGGTAAACCCTATTACCATTTTTCATAATAGTTGATACGGGCAAAAAGGTCCCATAGATATTAAAAATATCCGTCCCGCAGTTAGCGATGAGTGTAACTCGGATGGACAGGAGTTCTATGAACGTGTAAACTTAGCCAAGCACGTTGCGGTTGATTCGGGAAAGACAAAAAACCATCAACAACGCGATCCATGGCGAGCGGCGTGCCTGATCAGACTCGGTGCCAGCTTCCAGCAGGCTCTGGCGGATCGCAAACTGAAGCAGCGCATCGTCCTCATCACGCATGGGCTGCCTCTTGGCCTGGCCGGCCACTGTGTAGCCCTTGGGCACCTCGAACACGGAGTCGTCCATCACCCAGGCCGACACCGGCGCTGCAAATACACCAACAAATGTGAGCAGCGGTGGAGGCTGTGGGCAGAGCAAGTGCAATTTGCGTCCCATTCCCACAGCCAGAGCACTCGCAGATGTTTGTTTTTTTCGTGCCTCGGAGGGATGGCGCTAGATCTGGGAGAACGGCAATAATTTCGAACAAGCACCCGATCGCTGACCCCCTCTCAAGAACGTTCGGGATTTAATTTACCGGCAAAACAATGGTCTGCATTAAATCGGATCTACGCATCTCACAGCAGCTAAGCCCACCACCGCTTCCATCGCAAGTGACTATTCATAGAGTGCCCAGAGTGCGATTGTGGAAACGCCGACCAGACCATCGACCACACAGCAACGAACCAATGCGAACTCCATCCGAGGCATTGACACAATCCATTGCACATCAACTGAAGCCATTCTCCGGTCAACTAATCTGGACAGACATACGAGCCGCTTTCCATCCAGCCATGAGCAAGAAGACTCAGAGATTATCCCCTGCTCCTGTGTGTTGTTGTTTATCCAGCAGGGCAGTTTTGAACATAGGAATCCTAACTCAGTCCGCTTTAGTCTCTGGTTATGTATCACAGTTTCAGATGCAACATTATTGTAAATATTTCGATTTAAAGCTTTCGTGACTGCAGGGATTCATCTTCTTGTTTCTTTCGGTAAAGTCACGTAGAAGGGAAGTAATAAAATAATAAAAATAAAACATAATAAAACAATTCTCACGACGTTTCGGCTACAACGCAAGCAGCCGTCTTCAGGTGAAGAATGAGTCCTCATTCTTCACCTGAAGACGGCTGCTTGCGTTGTAGCCGAAACGTCGTGAGAATTGTTTTATTATGTTTTATTTTTATTATTTTATTACTTCCCTTCTACGTGACTTTACCGAAAGAAACAAGAAGATTATTGTAAATATTTATAACTTTACATTAAAACATACATTATTACATCAGTTTAAGGTGCCAAGGAAGTTCTACAGAGGGGCTCTCTCTCTCAATACCATCCGAAATGCACTTCAGAGAGATGGGTGTTTTTGTCTTTCTGGAGCTCTCTCTCGTAAAGGCTCTTCTGCCAGCAGTGGCGTGAGCAAAGAATGTCAGGGCTGCACCTTCACCACCTTCGACAAGCGAGTTCTGATGAAAGTATTCTCAGTCTGTGTTCATGCTCGATGCATCCCCCGCTTAAGTATTTTGTTAACCCCAGGAAACCCTCAAGTAGAGTCTCAAGACTGTAATAATCATCGCTTTAAGCCAGTGGTTGTTACCCTGGGGTGCACGCACCACCCCCTGGGGGAGCAAGACGTGCCAGATTTTTTTTAGAAGTTAAATCATCGAAACGAAAACTAAGGACGGGCGTGTAAGCATAACTACTTTCATTCACCAAACCTATTTTTTTATTCACATTTTACTTTTTTTTTACGATTGAGATACCAAAGGGGTGCAAGGATGCAGTGAAGGTCAAGAACCACTGCTTTAATAACATGACAACAGAACCCAGACTGTCAAGTATTTTTTTTACCCCAGAATTTTTTATCCCGATCCTCGGGGGAACCATGGCAGTCGACATGAGTGGCGGAACGATGCACAAAGCAAACTCGCAACAAGCTTGGGCCTCCCGTGAGGCTCACGTGGCCCCCCCCCCCAGGTTCAAGAAAAAATAAGAGGGCTATGCCAAAAACCAAGCTCAAATTCGGAGAAATAAACAAAAAGAGAATCATCCCGACAACACCATGAAACTAAATGTAGTGAAATATAAGTGGATTATGTCTATTGTAATAAGTCTTAGAATAGAGGTGCTATTCGCTAATTTCTCTCACTCATTACACCTCTCTGCCGTGCATGTCTCTTCTGTAATCTTATGAGGGGTTCATGAATGTGGGGGGCACCCAAACATTGTTTTTGCTTGGTGGGGGGGGGGGGGGGGGTGCAATGTGCTAGCACCACCACTGACACTTCACTCGAGTGGAAGTGCTGTACAGAGTACATAACGTGTCAATCGTATTAAACGTCACTAGACCTGAGCTGGGTGGGTGGTTCGGAGGTCAGTGGCACTGCTGAGATACTGCGTTGGTTTTAATCCTGCTAGCTGACAGTGATTAAACCAAGTTCTCAAGCGAGTTGCTGGTCTCAGCCAGGTCAACGGTGACTGCACAAAACGCAAGTTAAATTAGTTATTCATTTGGCTAAAGTCCAGCTCAGAAAAAAAAATATCTCTTTGAATGGCATGCAGTTAACATGACTGCCGTATGCCGAATGAGTAAGAAAGTGAGGCATTATACTCTGCGAACCAGAGTTTACTTGCAGGGATCTCTGATATCCACATGGAGAACACAACGGGTTGAACTGCTCTGCCAGAGTTCAGAATTGACTCTTCAATTCGTGACATGATACCGGCAGCATGATCGTGATAAAATTGAGGAGAGAAAAACTATTAAATAAAAAAAAGTTACTCGGTCTGAGCAAGGCAGAAGGAAAGAAGGTGAGAAAGACCTGGCTGGCTTCGACTGCCACGTGTTTGATGCCATGTGGGGCTTGTGTCAACTCTCACTCCCTGAGCTGTTGACGCTGCCCAGGCTGGAATTGTCGCTGCTGGGTGACGACTGGCTGTCGCTGTCGGGGCTGCCGCATGCCGACAGCGCCTCGTCGCCGCTGCCGTTGAGGTTCCCAAAGGTGATGCGGGCGTTCAGAATGTGAAAAAGTGGAATCTCTGCGGAGAGAGCGCAAGCCGCGGCGCTCCGGTTAGGACTCTGCGTAGCTTCGTCCCGGCGTCGGCAGTTCGAGAGAAGCACGTTGTCGCACGCTTGTCACCGAGAGCAAGACCACGATAACCTTTTTGCTGGCAACACCAATTTAAACGCGTGCCCGGTTCATTGTCGCGAAAGGCCATGCCGACACCACGGAGGGATGAGTTGCCACGCGGTGGCAGCAGATTAAAAGATAAAGTTGTTTAAAACCAAGAAGAAGAACACGTCTGTAAAGCTGTCCTCTGCTTGTTGCGCAATGTCCTTGTGTGCTTCTCAAATAAAATTTCGTGTTCTTACGAAATATTTAACGTCTGTTTAGTTTTAATTGGTTTTCTAGTGTATATTATTTGTTTGGCACGTAGGCACAATTCTGGCAAAATCGCAACGATGATGCTGGATGTAATTACCAGCGAAACGTCGTACTCAAAATGTAAATATTGCGGATTTACTCTCCAACACACCAGTGGGCTGAAGTAGTAACTAATTGACATGTTTTGTTTACGTGATGAACCTTACAAAATGGCTGTGTCGGGTGGTGGGCGGGTTAATGACAAATTTATATTTGTGCGATCTAACCCAAAAAAAACTTGATTACGAATAATTTGTGCTCTTTACCGCTACATTTTGCTTGAGGTTAAACCTCGTGAGTGACAAGCAAATTGTGGGTGACAGTGCATGTGAGTGATGCTTTTTAATGTACGTATAATGGGGCTGATAACAGACCGTAATGTGTTTTTTATTGTTTCCTAAATTAATCATGTCACAAGTAAGGAACAGCTAATAATCAGCAGCAAAATAAAAAAAGCCATGAATTTAGATGCAATACTTTATACTTCTGTTCCTATTTTTCCGAAGTATTGTTCAACTGCAACGCAGTTAATCCGTCCATGGATAACCAAGACTTTACATAAAAGTAAACATAATGGATATCTTTCGATTTAAAGCTTTCGTGACTGCAGGGATTCATCTTCTTGGTTCTTTCGGTAAAGTCACGTAGAATGGAAATAATAAAAGAATAAAACATTATAAAATAATTCTTACGACGTTTCGGCCACAATGCGACAGACCTGTTCTCCACCTGAGGACGGCTGCTTGCGTTGTGGCCGAAACGTCATGAGAATTATTTTATTATGTTTTATTTTAATTATTTTATTATTTCCCTTCTACGTGACTTTACAGAAAGAACCAAGAAGATACTGGATATCTACACACTGCATAGGTTTTTCGTCGTTGAGCTTTGTGGCCCTTCCGCTGCGCTCTCGGGTTGCCCTGCGTTGTTCGGTATGACGTCCAACGTTTCACTCCGCGTGTTGACAGCTTCTTCAAGAACTGGACTACGGAAGCTCCCGGCACGTGGAACGAAACGTCGGATAGCGTGCCGAAACAACGCACGTTGCAACCCAACATCACATCGGAAGAGCTATATACGCGCGTAAAATGCGTGTGTGTATGTATATATACGAACTGCACACCAATCTTCACGGGAAAGCCGGAGGGAAGTTTTAAGGTGATGAAATCCCTCAGCTTGGCGAAGTGAGTGTAGCTGATGGCCATTAGGTCGACAATGGGCATCACTTGCTCCACCAAGGATAGCGGGTGGTCCTCGCACAGCCACAGGTTGGCCTTGAACCTGACGAGAGGCACGAGGGGACACGTCCGCACACACGTGCAAGGTTACACAACGGGGATGGGGGAAAACCGTGCACACGCGTGGATTCCGTGACGCTTCCCTCGGACACATTTACGAGCGGTTCGGAAGCCGACGACGGGTAACCATCAAGGCAAAATGGCATTCGTGATTTTACAAGTAGTTCTTCTCGCTCTGGACGTGTTCCAAAACCACACAAGGGAGAGACGAACGATTACAGAAATAAAGACAAAGATCCCCCTGATAGCCTTTGCACCGTTGCGGCAAGTGCTGTTAGCGAGCGCCTAATGAATGTTGGCATGGCACACGAGGGGGTGAGTGGCCAGTACCACGCTAGATATATACTGACACACAAATAACCCATGTGTAGCCCTCAGATCGTCGGGACAAGTACTCTTAGCGAAGTGCAATGATGGACAAACATCTTCCAATAAATGAATAGCAGCGTGAGAATGATATGGATCTGCAACCTCGCTCACGCGCGTGTGTACGCGCCGAGTCGGATGTGCACTCTCTACATGGATTCACAATTACACCTTAACGCGAGCAGATGAGCACACGCACCAGGAGGCATGGGCATCAAATGTTGCCATTCATGTGAGCGTCTCAGAATGAATGTCAGCATGCAGATGAATGTCTTTACAAACCGAGATGTACATAAGAATTATGGGCCTTGACCAGGAAATTTCTTTACACGTGTAAAAAATTAAAAGTGCAACCACACATCCTTGAATACATATACAGGCAGTCCCCGGGTTACAGAAGATCCGACTTACGGAAACCCGACTTACGGAACTCAAACTTTACGGGAACGCTCCTATAAATCGTGTTTAGAAAAAATCTATACGAAGAAATGTTTGCTTTAGTTACGCAAGCGCAAATAGTGCAGCAGGGTGAGGTTGCGGATGAATAATGCGGAGCGAGGCGTAAGGTGGCTGCCCCAAAATGCCGCCTTTAACGAGCCCGAGATGCACGAGGATTTAAAGTAATTCGAATAGTTTCTCACCTTACGTAATTATTTTCCTTTTGTAGCATTACGTAATTGTTTGTTTTCTGTACAGTATGTACTATGTGTGTGTCTGTGGGGAGCGGTAGTGTAGCGGTTAGCGCGCTGCGCTATGAACCCAGAGACTAGAGTTCGATTCCTGCTCACGGCCAACACCAGTGACGATTATCTGAACCGGTCCTGGGACTCCCCTAGGTCGAATCAGCCTTAAATAAGTACCTGGTGCGGTGTGTAAACATCGCCACTGGGGAGACAAAGGTGACCGGGCATGGTGCTGGTCACCCACTCGCTTTTGTGCCGTGCCGACCTTCATAGGTGCTCGCTAACAGCACTTGCCCCAACAGTCCGTACAGGTTATACGGGGGATCATTGTCTTTGTTTGAAGTCTAGGCCTAGCCTAATGCACGGACAACATTCGGAATTGACTGCTTTCTGTTAACAATAAATATTAAAATCAAACAGCTGGATACAGCGAATGTTCCATTAGTTTAATAATGGGTAGTGTTAGGGTAGATATTCGATTAAATGAAACAATCAAGCCAAGTGCAGAGCGATACGATACAGGAAGCGATAGAAAACGGATGACATCGCAACACGAGCAGTCGTCTTCAGGCATATGCCAAGCTTTTAAAAACATATATCTGCAGCGTAGTAATTTTAACTGAGACTCGAGAATTTCCCTACAGACTGCGGTCTCGATCAGGAGATCCCAATGAAGGGGTAACATTCGATTCCAACTACCAACTCTGAATTTCAACATCACAGTAAACCGGTGGCCACCCTGAAAGGGCTGCAGTTCCTGAAAAAGGATCTTAGCACGTGGAGTGAAACGTCGGACATCGTGGCAAACAGCACTCGGTACTACCGAAAAATACAGAAGAGAGCTGTATAGTATAACTGTAAACAAGTATAACCCGTAAAAAAAAGTTTTTCACTATAAATCCTCTATATGCGTGGCGGCTAGAGTCCTCTCGTCCTCTGGCTTGAGATGGCTGCCACCTATAGGTCAGATGATTGCATGGCAGCATTAAGCAATTGGTAATTAAATATAATATTTTTGTCCTAAAAAGTGTAAAATTTTGGAAAAAAAATTTCACGGACATTAATTGTCACGCACAACGAGTCTGTGTGGAAAATGTCAGCTCGATGGATCACGGGATGTGGGTTAAAAAACGACCGAAAGATTTGCACGGTCCTAAGCAAGCAAGCAAGTGAACTTAATATAAAGGATTTAAAAAGTACAAAGTAGTCACTTGGAAGTGATTTTGGGCGAAGATTAACGTCAGACAGAAGGCCTGCTCTGAATGAGGATCTATTGCCTGCCCTGCAGGAGGTTCATGTGTGATGTTTCTGATCTGTCCACCATTGGATTAATTGGTCTCAAGACCAGCACCAGATTTTCACACTTTGCGCCCCCCTCAGGCACTATTGCACCGGCACATGTCCCACCGCAGCACAGAGTTTTTTCGTTTTCGGTCCTGGGTCCTTGGCGCAAGGGTCTATGAACTGCCGACTGCCAGAAGACCATCCGGCATCGTTATTATTACTGAAGGCACCAGGCCGACCTTGGGGGAAACGTGTGACAAAACGCCACCGAGAGGATTCTGCCGTGGTGTGCACTGGACTTGCATTCCAGAGATCGTCTGTTCGATCCCTCAACGCGGAAGCTTAAAGTTTTCAAGTTTCAAGTTTCATTTATTAGGTAGAACCCTGTGAGCCATGCGGCTCTTAAGTCGGGTGCAACCGCAACAAACAAAATATGAACAGAACATCTTAAAGCGACGACGCGTAACAGAAACATCCTGGAATAAACCAGCAAATATAAAAAAAAAAAGATATTAAAACGCTGTGCAAAAATCTCAATGTGGTGCAAGTCAATGTGGTGCAAGTCAACAATGGCGCGAGATTCTTAACCCCCCCCCCCCCCTCTGTACACCAAAGCAGTCGATCGATCAGCAAGTCACGTGTGGTGGCTTGTAAATTGTGGGTGCTCCAAACTCTTCCAAGGCGTCTGACCAGCATGGAAGAGTAGGCCAAAAATACCCTCCAGAGGGACTTTTAAGTTCCCTCTAGTGGAGGCCCTTCTGCCAGGAGTGGTGTGAGCAGGCAATTGCAGGGCTGCAGCTTTACCTTTTTACCATCCGTTACTGCCAGCTACAACCGTGAGCTTTGCTGAATCTAAATTGTGACGAAACACGAGCCTGGTACCATGTGCCGATGGACAGAGGCTGGGAACAGAAAATCCACGCGAATTCCAATTTGGCACGAAGGTCCCTCAGCCCCAGCCAACAGGGGGTCCCCGCGTGGGGGGGGGGGGTGAAGATTTATATGGGGGAAGAGTCGGGGGAGGGGAGAGAAATAACTAACATTAAGTCGTGCGGTAACGTCACGAGTGCAGTTTCATAATTTGTGTTGTGAAACAGATGTCGACATCCTGGTAAATGTTTGGCTGGAATGCGTTACACGATTCGCATCGCTTATCTAGAATTTGTTTAATTTACGATCCTGTACGCACATACGAGATGTTAGACATAGAATCATAAACTTTAATAACATCCTACACACAAGATTGAGACCACATGTTAACACATTGACAAATTGTAAATGTGTGCAAATGTACTGCGTGTCATACTACACATCTGCCAGTGCACTTAAATGATAATTTCCAGAATATTGGAAAAATCTATTCGAACAGCATTGGAAAACTTCGTGGAGAAAAAAAAGAAAACTAAAATAAAGTGAGATGCAGTGGCAAGAGGAGCAACGCTTTTACTGCAATCCCATTCATTGATTAATGGGTGAAACATGGTAGGTGCCATGCAATATATGAACCCAAGTTTGATTCCCTGCCATGGCTAACATCAGTGGTGAATATCTAAACTGGTCCTCAGGCTCCTCTTCACTAAAATAACCTGCATTCGCCACCAAGTGGCGGTGATGTCACCACAGCAAATGAACCAGGCTAGGGACGCCATGCTGGCGAGATGTTAACTACCTCGCCTGGTATACAGGAGGTTGTGGGTTCGATGCCGACCCTGACGCCTGCTGTATATTAGTAGTTTGCATGTATACCCCCGTGGTTGCGTGGATTTTTCTTCGGGTCCTCCGGGTTTTCCCTCCACATTTAAAAACAATGCGTTAAGATGATTTGGCTGCTATTAATTTCCACACGATCAGCCACTTTGTTGAGCCATGATTTGTGGCCAGGTCGCTTCTAAAAAAGAGCTACATCGCTCAGTGAGCCTTACCTGGCAAAATAAAAATAGATAGACCATGGACCCACGTGAAGTTTTGAAGTGTCACGGGACAGACCCAGATGCTACGGGTTCAGGAACGCATCCTGACCAGCACGGCGAGGCGATGGTCAAAACTATCCCATTTACTCACACACAGCAGTGGATTGACGGAGTGCTGAACATTATCATCATCATTAATAATACATAATAACAACATGATCATCATCATTAATAATACATAATAACAACATTATCATCATCATTAATAATACATAATAACAACATTATCATCATCATTAATAATACATAATAACAACATTATCATCATCATTAATAATACATAATAACATGAATGATATCGTGCCAGGCTCACCGCTGCGTTTTCACGGTCAGCTCCACCGGGCGTCCGATGTCGCGGCCCCCGAGCGCGAAGCGGGGGTTGAAGTACTCGGCGGCCGTGATCGCCGTGGGATTGGTGGGGCTCGCCATCTGCGTGATCTGTGCCTGGGTGGTGGAGGTGGAGAGAGACGGACACGGATCGCAGCGCTATAACGATGGGCTGCCGGCGGGCACCGATGTTGTTGCGGGTTTCATCTCCCAACACAAGCGGTGGTGCTGAAGAAGTAACTCATCAGTGCGCGTTGTTCACGTGACAAACCTTACTGATTGGCTGTGTAGAGTGGTGGTGGGTTAACGACACATATTATGATCTTGATTTGAAGCTTTCGTGACTGCAGGAATCCATACTCTTTGGTTCTTTCGGTAAAGTCACGTAGGAAGAAAAATAAAACCAAATCGCCTTGGCCGTGGCTCAAAATAATTATTTTATTTTGTTTTATTTTTATACCTCCGTGACTTTACCGAAAGAACCAAAGAGTATGGACACATTTATGTTTACGCGGTTTAACCCACAGACCTTGATTATGAATATTGGTTGCGAAAGCCTACGTTGTTGCGTTCAATTCAAAACCGCTTCTCGTTCTCTCTCTGTCTGCTTCCTAAGCGCCGCTCCACATGGGGCAACTCTCCCCGCCATCTCATTTCCGAAGTTCTTAGAATCCCCTTGGCTCAATTAATAAGTTCTTACAACCGCCTTGTCTCAATGAAGACGTTCTTACAAGCGCCTTGGCTCAATTAAGATGTAATAACTGCAATTGGGCCGCCGCCTTTGTGCCTGTGCTCAGCAACCGTTATTAAAGTATATTTCTCAGTGGATGTCGATTGCAAACCGTGGGAAGTTAGGCAAGTCTTAGTCTGCAGACTTCGTTAAGTTGTCAGCCTCTGGCCTAGTTGACTAATTTCGTCTACTGTTAGTTATTAAACGTCGCTGAAATGTACAATATCACCCCCTCCCCCCACCACCACCGTTTTACACAAATATAAAGTGTTAGTAAATCATCTCGGTTTTCGCCATCATTCAGAATATTATCTTTTTATCTCGTCAGTCACAGTCGTGCTTATGTTGGTGGACAGCCAGGCGTCGCTGTGACCCTGGGTTTAATTCAACTCGCAGTCATTTTCCGACTAAATCACACAAACCACTTTGCTGACGAATATTTTTTCATCGGTGATTTTCCTAAACAAAATCAACGGTGGAGGTGCGCAAACAACACCGCTTATAAAATGATCTCCGCGCCGCAGATATCGCCTCTTTCCTTCCCGAGAGGGTTAGAACGTTGAGTCACCGTGCCACAGACGCCCGTGTTGTTTAGTCTAGTAGATTTACTGACCTTTTCCTTAATACCTTCGTTTGCCATCAATTTATAACAAAAAGGGATTAATCCTGAAAGGACAGTTGTAATCGCTTTAGTTCCACTGGATACACATCATCGAGACCAATTATTTGGTTTAAAACAATTGCCTTGCACCCCCGTTGCTGATAATTGGAAAAGCATTTCTGCAACAATCTTTCACGGTTTGGGAATAATTCTTCACTCTCGAACCATTTGCAAAATCCCAGTTCCCTAACCTTGAGCGACAATCTGTAAAATAAATAAATGTGGCCCGTCTCATGTTACAGCGTGATGTTTAAAACGAACCTCGGACTGCGAAATGCACTAAGCTGCTATTAATCAGGAAACTAAATGTTTTTAATTGCAATACATTTTGTACAACACTTTGGTGGCCAATAGGTTGTAAAGTATTGTCAGAGCTGCAGTAAAGCTACTTCAGCCGTGGAGTATTGATCACAAACATGTAATTCCTCACCCTAAATTGCAAGTGCTTTTGCCTATGACCATATAACCCTGAATGCACCCAGTCTGATCAGACTTAGGAAGCTTATGCAGAGTTGAGCCTGGTCAGTGCTTGCATGGTGAACTGTTTTAGACTAAACTATTTTAAACTATAAACTATTTTTTTTATTTCATCAGGTAAGGCCCATTGAGCTATGTAGCTCTTTTTCAGAAGTGACCTGGCCACCAACGATAGCTCAACGAAGTGGATTATCACGTGGAAATGTATCACAGGCAAATACTCGAAACGCGTCTTTCTGTCGGGTAGAAAACCGGAGGCGTCAGAGAACCACATGACCACGGCGAGAGAGAGAGAGAGAGACACTCAAACTCCAAATATGAAGGCGTCAGGGTCGGGATAGTACCCACGACCTCCTGTATACCAGGCGAGGTAGTTAACATCTCGTCACCGTGGCGTAGCTATCCGTGGTTGTGCCGTATTGCTCTTTTGTTGTGCGTGTGTTGGGAGCTCCTCCGGGAATTGAAACCGCCTCTTTGACCTCCAATGTACCTGTTACTAAGCTTGACACTTTCAGTGACAAAACGACTCTCAGCTAATCCAAAACTCCACAAGAATAAAGACGATGGCGCTCAGTGCAGGAGTCAATGACAGTAATACATTACATGTGTAAAGCGCCTTTCTGCAAGGCACTCCAGGCGCTGTACATCAAAAGTAATGAATACATGAATGCAATGTTGGCCAAAGGGAGTGAAAACTACATTTACAGGAAATTATTACCTGCTAAACATTTTTCACAAGCGTGCTCAACAGCCGAATAAATTTGATTTATTTCTTGGCCGTGATGACGTTCTACCAAATCCAACACTAATTTTCACTTAGCAGTAACCTTTATGCGATTGAGAAATGCTCAAAATAAGCCTTTATAAACCGAGTCTCACTTCTAAAAGCAGCGCCAATGTATTGTTTTCCCCCTGAACGCCAGTCATTCTGCCATTAACAGCTCATTGACCAGCTGTAATCAGATATACAAACTGCAACGCCTTCTTGGTTCTTTCGGTAAAGTCACGTAGAAGAGAAGTAATAAAATAATAAAAATAAAACATAATAAAATAATTCTCACGACGTTTCGGCCTTGCGTTGTGGCCGAAACGTCGTGAGAATTATTTTATTATGTTTTATTTTTATTATTTTATTACTTCCCTTCTACGTGACTTTACCGAAAGAACCAAGAAGATGAATCCCTGCAGTCACGAAAACTTTAAATCGAAATTTAAACTGCAATGCGTTTCACCCTGTCAATTTGACAGACTTGCCTTCAAACATTCCGCAACTGTCATTGTGAGCGGACCGCGCGTACGCGAGTTTGTGTGCGACGTTTTAAAAAAAATTGCATTTTTGAAGCGAATGAAAGAGGTGAATGAAAGCGCGCACACACACCACATTGTTCGAGCCGACATGCTGCTCGGCAATCCCGAGGAACGACTGCAGGGGGGTGGTTTTCACTCCTGCAGGTAAACAAACAAATTATCTCGTTTTAATGATTACACTCGCTGACAAGGTGCTACGCAGTAGCGTTTCTCAAAACTTCAGTCCTCGCAAATCTCGCCTATGTTCGTCGCATGCACCTGATAAATCCATCGATCTTTATATCGTGTCGCTCGATCTAAGATACCTGGCAGGGACATGATTCTTGGGAAATTCAGAGAGGTACAGCAGGACTGGTGCCCTTTGCAGCCCTGTTTGTAAGGCAAGGATTTTAAAACATAACCTCGACTGGTAGCCAATGGAGATCCCTGGGCAGTAGAAGAGAGATGTGTTCTCGACCAGGCCTCGCTGTGTTGGTAATTGTCATCGCTTCACCGTGGAGGACTTGCGGGGTGGTCATGCCTGGAGCTCAATGAGACACTCGTATACAGTACCACGTGCCATAAATATCACGGCGTGGTGAATAGATGATGAGGTGTGTAAATTATTGAGTACATTTACAGCCAATTTTTGTCAGTCCACTGCTGGATGAAGGCCTCTCCACTCTTTGCAAGTCATGGTGGTTGTTTTAAATCACGCTTCAAGGTTGGTGAAGGCAAGAAGCATAAATGCGGGGGGCATAGAAGTAGAGTACAACAATGGATTTTAGTGAACTGCCCACAACGTAGCCCCGCATATATACAGTGCATTAAATCAAGAAGAGCACAGATTGAACGCATTCACATGCACTGTATGTTGAACTCCTTTTGCGACGTACGTAGCCACCCGTGCTAATCGGAGGTGCAGAAATATATACATAGCTTGTTGCTGTGTATATATTTAAGGAATTATGAAATTGAAGGAAAAGTACAAATCACATTGCTGGGTTTTTTTTAAAGACCCTCACAAATTACGTTTTTACTCGAGGGAAAACCATATTGCACAAAATGTGGTAACCAATATTAAACGGTAACAGAAAACTGCTTTTGTGGTTAGCTTTGAAAATGTAGAAAGTAAGTATAACTTTATATATATTTACAAAAAGATGTTCACTTAAACTGGGAAGTTGGCAGATTAATTCCGCACCATCTACACGAATATTTATCGACAGACAGAAAACTAATTTGGAGACTTTTATTGCACATAATCTTACAAAAAAAGAGTGAAAAAACTTCTTGATATGATGTATTCTTCCACAATTTTCCCATATGTGACATCTATTTTTTTAAGTCCTCCAAAACTCCCCACTGACAATGTTAGTCAGTGTTCCAGGTTTTAACGTTTCGTGGAAGTGACATTCAATTTGGCTTGTCCTCCAAAAAACATTATTGACGTTTCCCAAATTTTAGGAGCACATCAGGCAATGCGATCTATTAAATGCAATCATCGTCATAATTAGCCATGATCACTTCACTGCTGGATGAAGGCTACCCTAAGCCGCCATCACCTCTCATGATCCACCCAAAAGAACTGATTTCATAGCCCCATCTCCTTGGAGGACATCCTTTCAGTTGCGTTCCATTTTTCCCTGTCACTCCGTTTTTGTTCTTGACCGTTGGCCATCATCCCCGCTCGCCCTGACCGTGACCTGCTCTACCCAGGCCTACTTGCTTATCTCACCCGTTTGAATGATGTCGTGAACCCCAGTGTATATACTCGCATATCACCCACATCTTCCTCTTACTGTCTCTCGGTGTACATTTTAGCCACGCATCACTCTATGAAAAAGGAAGTCGAGGCTTAGACAAGAGCAACTGCATCTGCCCACGTTGTTCCGTAAAACTTTGAAGAGGGCCAGAGTCAAAAATGAAACGATCAATTTGTTCAAATAAAGTCTGATCGCGCACCAATGCACACCACATTCACACAAAGCAGCTGCGGAGTAGCACACCTTCATTGTTTACACTAATGCTTTCAAATGTGCATGGGCAGTCCATAAACCGCTTAAGTGCGGCTACGTTAAATAATACAGCAAGGGCATAAATCGAAAGTAAAAAAAAAATGCACGCAAACACACACACACGCAGGGCATGCATTTGCATTTTTAGTTACTGGCGTCGTAATTGACAAGCTGAAGTGTGTGCATTTTGGAGACTGAGGAGCAACCTTTGGTTTTGTTTTTATCCTGGTCAGAGAGGTGCTCCGTCCGAGTGCACGTCACCAGCTCCACGTGGGAGGCGCTGTACACCTGCAACACAACGATCAGCCGCGCCGTGCGCGAATCGTTATTCTTAAACAAAACATTTCTCACCTCCCCCCCCGCCCCACCATATTCCCACACTTACACTGGCGGAGCCAGTGGTGGGTAGGGTGGCACGTACCCCTCCAATGGTCCGATCGAAATTCCTAATTTCGATCGGACATTTTGCGACCCCCACTGCCACTGTGTCGCATATTATTACGTGCCAGGGACTCTATGAGATGATAGAACAATAGTCTGAGTCCATAACTGGCACTCAGAATTGTGCACAGTTGCATATACAGTACACGACTTCCCAAAAGGCATTCACCTTCAGCGAGCGCGATGCCGATCACACAACGTGGTTCGAATTCGACCCTCGATCGATGGCTGTGCCATCGCCACACACGCGTCGAATAAAAAGCAAGGGACAAGTCCTTACTTACTAACAACTCCTCTATCATTTTTCATTGCTGGAGGGGTTGCCCCCCCTACCTGAAAATCCTGGCTCCGCCATTGCACACTTAGAATTTTTTTTTCCCAACTGTCCAGTCAGCTTAATATACCATGAGACCAAGTGTCTCGTTCTGAACGCTCGCCGGGCTATGCATCACCCCGTGTGAGAGAACGGCTTGCGGAAGGAGACTTCACAGAACTACTTCTGAGAAACCTCAAGTGCTCTGCTTTTCCCATACACCTCGCATACAGGGAAAAAAATGTTGTTACATGCCAATAAAACTGAAATGGATTTCGCAGAGGTAAAATGTTGCAATCTGAAGTGCAAATCCAAATAGAATCAACAACAACATGTTGCCACACTTGAAAACCTGGTTTAATAATGAGCGGTTGAAGTCCAGATTTAAACTCGGCGATGCTGGATCCTGAGCCACCCCCAATGCTGTGATAGTTGATGCTGAGGCTGGTGCCATTACTAGGATAAATATTAACCCAGCATGAAAGTGTTAAGGCATCCTATAATGTACTGGATAATAATATCTGATATACACATCTTCAGCCGTTCTGTGGATATTGCGATCATCTTTTTCACCTGCAGTAATATCCGTACTGTAACTTATAAGAATATATGTTTCAATTGGTAATTCAATGCGAGCAAGCCTTGGGGATGATTTATGGTGGGGCACTTTTTTAACTAAAGCCATGCCTCTGTTTGTACGGTTAATCTAATTGGGGAGAGTTTTACATTTCTACTGGGAAGGTTGCCAGTGCTGCATTGTCAGCGTCTGAGGTCACCACTGCTGAGCAACAACTTATTGGTACAAAAGTAGCAACATCCTTTGCATATGCCGCCCAAGGAAAACAGGCAAGATGTGTGCGAATCTAATTCCGTCGAGGCAAAGACATCGTTGTTGATATTTTTTTAACATGTATAGCTGCACACACATGCAAATGTATAAGTGCTACCTTTGTGGCAGCTACTCTAACGGAATTGTGCTGACAGCAAGACGTTGGTTGCTTAGTTTCACCCGAAGTTTGTCATCCTGTGACCATGGGACTGGAGCAGAGGTCGCAAACGGGTTTTGATTCCTTACCCGTACCCGTACCCGGCCGCACCAGGATCGCAAACGGGTACCTCTACCCGTACCCGGCCGGGTACGGGTACCCGTTCCCTACCCGTACCCATACCCTACCCGAAATGAGTGACAAACGGTTACTCACCAGTGACTCACGGCCTACCCGTACCCGGCCACACCAGGGTCGCAAACGGGTACCCGTACTCGTACCCGGCTGGGTACGGGTAGCCGGGTATCGGGTAGGGTACGGGTATCGGGTACCCGGTTGCGACCTCTGGACTGGAGCGGTGGTCCTCAAGAGTGCGGTCCCCGGTACCACCAGGAGGGACGCGACGGCCCTCTAGGTGCTTCGTGGGGCCGCGATGCAAATGCCGGTTGATCCGTAAATCATGACAACGTTTCTACCTTTTGTTTCGTACGTTAATATTTTATTGTAGATTTGAAGCTTTTGTGACTGCAAGGATTCATACTCTTAGTTTTTTCGTTAAAGTCATGTAGGTAAAAAATGAAATAAAAATTAATAAAAATAAAATAATAAAAATCACGACGTTTCGGAGGCAACACAAGTTTCCGTCATCAGGTGGGACCGTCACAGCCAGATTTGCTGTATCAAGTGAGGCCCTCACTTGATACAGCAATTAATTTTAATGAAATTCATTTTATATTAATTTTTTACCTACGTGACTTTACTGAAAAAACTAAGAGTATGTTAATATTTTACTTAGGATATTTTATAAAAAATTAAGTTCGGTAAAACTACCCCGATTAAACTACCCGAACCGCTAAGATCTAAATTCCACCCCCTCCTACAAAAAATCCTGATTGCCGTGTTAAAAACAAATATTTCAGTTCCTGTATTGTGAATAATTTAGCATTACTGGTATTTAGAGAGAAAAGTGAATGCATTTTGTCACCAGGGGTGGGCGGGCTGGGTGGCCCTTGGAAATATTAGCATTGGCCGGGTGGTCCCGCAAGCCAAAAAGAAACACTGAAGATACATAAACAAACTCTTTGGTTCTTTCGGTAAAGTCACGTAGGTATAAAATAAAATAAACATGTTCACGTAGCCTCGATTTCCCTACTTGAGGTTCACCGCTTAGGGCAGTGGGGAATCATTATTGATGTTTTATTCCGTCAAGGGAAATGTTTTACTTGATGTCGTATTTGTCTAATTTCACACACAATTTCACAGGCTGTGCACTCAAATCTTATTTCTGCGGCGATAATGGTGTATTGACTTTCATAGCAACATCTTGCCACCTTGCAAGGAACTCACGCGTTAATCATTTCCTTGGTGCGAATCTAAAAATGAGGAGCCTTCAGGAGAGTGATAATTATTTTAAAGATTCGTACGCTTAACAAGCTCTTGCAACGTGTGAAATCGACGTGTATAATGTAACAAAGCGAGTCACGGAGCTGGTGGGGGCCGGTAATGCAGGAAATTAAAATGCGCCGCGTCGTCTCACCTTCGTTTCATAACCGTTAATTGTTTCACTTTTTTCGCTTCTCCACCCCCAGATTCCGGACTTGTTCCTGGGGAATCAAATACAACTTTAGCAGCACATACAGTAGCAGTAACAGCAGCCTCATTCCGCACCTTCACTTCTCTGCCTTAAGGGTGTAGGTCCCTGGCTCAGGTTTCCTCCATCTAATCCCCACTTGCTCCCTCTCGCCCTCCCCTTGCCTCACTCAAACACTGCACCTCCACAAGAAGTTTCTTGAGCCACGACTCGTGGAGGCAGGGGTTACGGTAGTTTCCTGTTTCCTTCTGCGTGCTGTTACACCTTTTGGGCATCAGGGTGGCGGAGTGGTAACACTTGTTGCCTCACAGGAAGAAGGGCCTGGGTTCGATTCCCGACTTTCTGATTGGAGTTTGTATGTTCTCTAGCGTTGCTACATGTAGCAGCTGGTATTCATTAAACATCCGAATACTAAAAACATTACTCAATTGTGTTTATGCATGTGCAAAATCATCCCTTGCTGCGAAACTTGCCAGGACTCTCCTGAATAAGAGAATTGAGACTCAGTGAGGCTTCACTGGGTAAACTAGCATAATAATTAATCTAACCTTGTATTAAGACACACATTTGATTCATCATCATCAGCCTTGATCCATCTACTGCTGGATGGAGGCCTCCCCAAGCCATCACCCTCCCTCAGACATCGTTATCCCTCATGGCTTTGTGATGCAAAAGTCCATCTAGCTTCTGCACATGAGCTCATTTCATCGCTTTGCCTATGCTGTGAATGTCCTCTGGGACATGTTCTATCCTCTGCATACCGGACACAATTGTGACTTCTTACTTTACGCAATCAAACGGCATGGAGCGAACGAGAGCCATCTGGCTCGGTGGGGCTGCACTGTGGCAAGGTTGCCACCCTGGGATTTGCTTCACGAGATAAACTGACCTACACAATTTCCTAATAACTTATTAACGCACGTTTAAGAGGCGCTTAAAATTGAAACGCAGAGAGGACAAGTTGTGCAAAATGCACTTAACAAGAGAGAACCCCATCCCGATCCAGCAGCACCATTAGGGCTTTTGCTGGCTATTATGAGGCCTCACCAGGTTAGTAAAATAATATGCATCTACACACAGGGTGTGTGTACAACTATGCAGGCGTGGTAGCTCCCCTGCGCTCATTGCGTATTGCACCCAGAAGGATACAGCTCCTGTGTGCAGTTTTTGGTCCGGCTACTGCTGGATGGGGCACCCTCCCCCCATGCCATGTGGGTTTGACCATACTTCACTACACCAGTCAGTGTGAACTGGCGAAGGCGGGGAGTACAGAGATGTGCAGTATAGAGCACAGTTCAACAATGGATTTAGCTGCACTGCCCTCTCTGGTCCCATCCACCACGTAGGGCCGCAGCAGCCTATAATAAACCTGCTGTGCACGGTGGTCACCCATCCAAGAACTATCCAGACTCGGCACTGCTTAGCTTCCGAGATCTGACAACATTTGGCACATTCTGATTGATGTGGTCACAAGCGCCAACGGCGATACGGTGTGCGGGCGGTCTGAAGAGGAGCATTGGAACTCCGACCGCTTCAACTCGAAGGTTATGACCGTGCGCTCCCACATCCCGTTATCGACAGCCATGATCAGTCCACTGCTGGATGATGGCCTCCCCACCACGTTCACCCCCATCACCGTCCCCCTCCACCAGAGGTCGCAAACGGGTTTTGATTCCTTACCCGTACCCGGCCACACCAGGGTCGCAAATGGGTACCCGTACTCTACCCGTACCCGAACCCTACCCGAAATGAGTGACAAACGGTGACTCACCAGTGACTCACGGCCTACCCGTACCCAGCCGCACCAGGGTCGCAAACGGGTATCCGGCCGGGTACGGGTAGCCGGGTATCGGGTAGGGTACGGGTATCGGGTAACCCGGTTGCGACCTCTGCCGTGCGCTCCCACATCCCATTATCATCGACAGCCATGATCAGTCCACTGCTGGATGATGGCCTCCCCACCACGTCCACCCCCATCACCCTCCCCCCCTCCACCAAGTTGCCACCTGTCGAGTCCAAATCCAAACGCGTCTCACGTGCGACGCGGGGCCCCGCACCTCTCAAACTGGATGTTCTTGGTGTTGACGTGCGTGGACACGACGGGCGACGAGAGGCGCAGCAGGATCTGGGCCTCGGAGGGGCGCACGGCCTGCAGCAGCGCGTCCGTCTCGGGGGCGGCCAGAGACAGCGTCTCCACATACACCAGGCAGCGGTCGTGGTCCACCTCCAGCACCACCGCCCCGTTGTCTTGAAAGAGTTTGGCGCGGTGCGCATGTTACGCGCCGTCCGGTATAGGGTGACTTGAAGGCAGAGGTCGCAACCGGGTACCTGATACCCGTACCCTACCCGATACCCGTACCCGGCCGGGTACGGGTAGCCGTTTGCAACCCTGGTGCGGCCGGGTACGGGTAGGCCGTGAGTCACTGGTGAGTCACCGTTTGTCACTCATTTCGGGTAGGGTACAGGTAAGGAATCAAAACCCGTTTGCGACCTCTGCTTGCAGGACGAAGCAAAACCATTCCGTTTATGTGGAGTTTGTTTTTATTATTATTATTGTCATCATCATACGTTTACTTTATGTGCTACATTTTGGCATATGGAGGATGTATGGCATATTCTGTGCACGAAATAGTGCCTCTGGAACGAGGCCAGTTTGGCTCGTGATGTTGTTTGGCTTGGTAAGAAATGGGTCCCGTCTTGGCAAGACTCTCGTGTTGTTGCCCACAGCTCTGGGAACTCCCATGCAGCCTCCCTCCTCCTGCACGCGTTAACCAGACTCCACCCCTGATTAGCCTCCAGTTCAAACACGACCGCAGCCTCGTTCAAGACAACGGACCATGCGGCATCACAGTGGACTCTCGCACCTTGACACTGTGTCTGCATATACAGATAGCCAGCCGTGTTAATCTACTTGCTACCCATTTCCAGACTGAGGCATTTTATTTAACGAGCATGTCTGTTTGCAGAGTGGGGCTTTTAAGATATTCTGGCCATGCATTGCATATTCACCCAAATGTAACGCTTATACAATGCAACCCCCAACGATGATTACAAATATTTTTTCCGCACCCTGGAAACACAACATTGTGCAATATCATATAAAGATGGGCAGCTGTTCCCCACGTCAACTTCACCAAATTTAACTTTCCAGTGTGAAGTATGGTCAAACACGCACCCCACCCCCCTCCGTTATGACTGAAATGACGTGGGGAGACCTTCATCCAGCCGTTGATTGAAAAAAAATGGCAGTACGTTATGTTTTACAAATTATATCCGCCGATGGCTCTCTCTGATGTGTTTTCAGGATGTGCCGAGTTCTTGTCCGGCCGTGACGTTCGACGTTTCGCTCCACGTGCTGGGACCTTCTTTGTCACAATTGCAAAAAACCCGACGTTAACTATTAGACAGTCCTGCTTTTTCTGCAATATTTTGCTGTCTTTTCTTGGATTTTCTGTTTGCACATAGTCACTTTAAGATGTTTTCTTGTTCATGTTTTTGTTTTTTTGTTTGTTGCGGTTGCACCCGATTCAAGAGCCGAATGGCTCACAGGGCTATACCTAATAAATGAAACTTGAAACTTTTTAAAACTTGAAACTTGAGGCACAGTCAATCAAATATACATGTAAATATCGCATAGCAAACATAACATCAATAAAGGCGTTTCGGGGCGCTTTGCATAAAATAAAAGTTCACATGACTGTCCAACACTTAGCATGTATAAAATACAAGACGTTTAGTTTCACATTTTAAAGCAATGTATACCCAAGGCAATACAATTTAATACCATTAAACACTTGCATCACGAGGAATAACACGGTTGCTGCTGGAAGTGGCGGTATTGTAGAGGGCCGCTGTGTTTCCATCGGTGTCCCTTTCTCGAGTGGAGGAATGCCTCTCATTTAGGGGCAGGCTCGAGCACACACTCTCAACAGGGGATGGGAACGCACGCCACCCTTTGGGAATGGCATGCAGGCCGCATTCTGCAACAAGCAAGAAGCATCCGATCTTCCGAGAGCGGGCTAGTGGCCACGTGACCAGTTGCAGTAAATGGCAGGGCCATGCACACGACAAGACTCGCTCGCTCGTGGTGAACGCGAGGTGCGAGGCAGAGGTAGCAAACGGATTCCGATTCCTTACCCGTACCCGTACCCGGCCGCACCAGGGTCGCAAACGGGTACCCGTTCCCTACCCGTACCCTACCCGAAATGAGTGACAAACGGTTACTCACCAGTAACTCACGGCCTACCCGTACCCGTACCCGGCCGCACCAGGGTCGCAAACGGCTACCCGTACCCGGCCTAACTGGGTATCGGGTAGGGTACGGGTATCGGGTACCCGATTGCGACCTCTGGTGCGAGGAGACGTTTGGAGGTCTGTTACGTTGCCTTACTGGCTGGGGCTATCTTCTTGTGTCACAAGGGACATTCCAAATCGACCTTCATCTCCGCATTTATTGCAATGTGAGCTTTTTTTGTGTTTGACATCATATTGCGTAGGGTATATTGCTTTGACGTTTTGAATTAAATGTCTTGTATTTTTTTATATATATGTTACGTGTATTTATTTTCTGTGTGGGGGGTAATCATATGCTCGTATTTGAGAAGATGTCGGTAATTATCATCGAGTGGAGAAAATGAGCGTGATGAAAAGAAAGAGTAATCGGGGGAAGTTCTCTGATGTGTGTTCTCTTGTATCGCCTGTTGTTTTGGAATGATGTCCAAAGTTTCACTCTCAGCACGTGGAGTGCCAAACAGCGCGCCGTACAAAACCAAGCACACTTCAGAATCACAATCAGAACCTCTATTTATCTTGGAGGAATCCGATGAGCTACGAAGCACAGGTGTCCAAGTAGGGGTGGGTCAGAAAGTTACCTGTCTCCGCGTGTTGGTGAGGAGAGCATTTCGCAGTGAATTGAAGAAAACAGGATGGGAGAGAGTTTTTACGTTGAACTTCTTTCACACCCTACGTAGCCAACCTTGCTAATCGGAGGTGTGGGAGGAAGGACAACAAACTAAGGACAACTTTTTGGCATAGGACTACGTTTCTGTGAACACGCTCACCTTGCCCTTTGAATATGAAGCTTCGTTTCCCTCGCTGCCAGGTCATGTGATCGAAGCCCAGGAGGGTGGTGTCGACACGGAGGTTTGAGCCGCACTTCCACACCTTGTAGACGTCGCTTGGACACACGCGGGACACCAGAGGCACTGGGCGGCACACACGCACAGGCAGGAACGCCGGTGAGCGCCAGCGCTGCAACCATCAAAATGTTCATCATATAATATGATGGAATGCTTTCACAATGTGACGGTTATCACGATATCAGTTTCTTATTGAAGTGTAGCACGGTTGAGTACGTACGGTGCGAAAAAATTTCAACAAACACGTCAGAAGCACAATCCGAATCTCTATTTATCTTGGAGGAATCCAATGAGCTATGAAGCGCACATGTGTCCAGTAGGGGTGGGTCAGAAAGTGACAGCAACAAACAATGCAAAAACACGCTAGGAGTGCAAAGTATAGGAAAGGTAAGCAAAAAGAGAGCTAGGCGGTACAACCGTGAACACTACACGCAGCAGTAGCAATGTACATGTATGTATATATATGTATATTGAACTTATTTTGCACCGTATGGCTACGTACGGTGCATAGCCAACCATGGTTCATCGGAGGTGCGACGAAAAGACAACAAACTAAACACATCATGGGACCTTCCTTTGCCAGTACTAAAATAAATAAGAATACTGTCTCTGGTGTGGACCAATCAGTTTCAAATTATTCCTTGTAAAAGGTTTCAGTTTGGTGTTTTAACAAATTAACACCTGTTTTGTTGCCAAATAAAAGGGGAAAAACGTATTCTCAAATTAAACACAAATAGCAGTTCTAAAAAAATGAGTTTTCAGTCTATATTTAAAAGTGCTAAGCTCCAGTGGCTTCCTAATATCGGTAATGCTAATTGTATTTAACATTGGTATTGTATTGATTGTGAGTCTTTTCTGTACTTCCAGTACAAATGAAGATGACTTAAAAGTTCATCAATAGCAGTTCACTCACCACAAGCCTGCCACGAGTCTTCTAATCGTTAAGATCTCTCTCGCTTATAACGCACATGCGGTCAGTCACACAAAACGTAATTAAACAACAAACTACCTACGAAAATGATGACATCGTATACTCGTCATGCCTTCAATTTATCCGGACCACATTTAGCAAAGCACTCATTTAATGGATAGTAGCTAACCGTTTACAACTTCATTATTGGGTTCGTCGCTTGATAAATATTTGATCAGGGAATAAAATACTTGAGAAAAATCTATTGAGCAATGATATATTATGATACAATTATTTAATGCAAAACGGATGGTAATTGTATGATATATCATTGTATTGCTAGATCTTGGCTACCCTGATGAGCAGAAAGGATAAAGAGGAACTCTGTCCTGTTTAAACGTAGGGTTTTATACTGGTAGGAACCACCTGGTTCCACCAGCCCACAGGGGATTATTGTGTCCGTCCGTCCGTCGTGCATCCAAAAATGGGAGGGGTGGGGCTGTGTGGAGAGGGGAGGGTGGGAAGAGGCTGGGTTGCGAGGGTGGGGAGGGGCTGGGTGGGGAGGGGAGGGGAGGGTGGGGCTGGGTGGGGGGTGGGAGGGTGGGGCTGGTCACCCCGTGGTGCCCTTATAAAACTCAACGTTTAACCTACTCAAACCGGCTTGTGCCCGCCCTCACAGTCGGCCATATTTGCGGAATACACCACGCCGCCATTGACCCTGGCCATTGACCGATCAACCCAACGTTCCTACCAGCTCCCTCCGCAGGAATGTGTTAACCGATATTTATTTTATAATCTGAATGGAAAATGTAACTTGCGTACTGCACCCTGATAGACGGTGCTCAAGTACAGTACCTCACTTAAACTGCGACTTATTTCCTATCGAATTTCAGTTGGTTCTGTCAGTGTTTTCAACAAAATTAATTGATTAAAATGTCAAGTTAATTTTTTTTGTTTCAATTCTTCTTCATTGCATATTTATTATTTGATTTAAAAATTGTGCGTCCTTAAATATATGTAATTGTTGTTATCGCGATAAGCCACGACATATCTTAAGCCTGGTCTCTCCGGTTGCCTGGGTGAAAAGCGGGCCTGTTAATGCCCTTTGCCCAATCCAATAAACCCGTATGGACACACCGCCACGTGCACAAGCTGCATAGTGACCTTGCCGTGCTTCACCGTGCAACCATTCACATCTTGCAGGATTATAACCAAGAGCTTCACGCACACCGAGGAGCCGCGATATCTCTCGCGGGGTTGTGAGGGTTTGAGAGGTAGCATGCCAGCCAGACCTGGGTGACGAGCACCTAAACGTGCCGCTTCGTGGAGACAATTACGATAAATCACTGTCGAGACATCTCCCCTTTCATCCACATTTATTACACAACGATTAATGGTAACTGACTAAGTGCAAAAAAAACCTAAAAAACTATATATATAAAGGCTTGGAAGTTCTTATGACCTATGTAGCCTTAAAATATATTAGTGCGAGCCACAACGTTAGTACGTAATAATATTACAAGGTGCGTATTGCGGAAGATGATCAAAAGTTTGCTTTTGAAAATGAGCTCGCGTTTGGAAGCGTTATAAATCTACCTTGTTATTTTAGTGCACATCTCCCCGTGCAAAATAAAACATCGCAGGTCAGTGACGACTTCCGCCGTTCTTTTAAACGCTGACGAGCCATAATAACCACGACGAGGCCCCCTTGTCCTCAGGGATCTCATTAATCGGGAGGTACTCCGAACACGACCGCCGCAAAAGGACGACCCTGCAAAGAGCACCTAATGGATTTGGGTTGCCAAGAAGAGACCGGTACAGCAAACAAACCCGAGGGCAACGCACGCAATGCAATCTGCATGGATTGGATGGCAAGACTCTTTTTGGATAGGGCTTCAGATGATATAGGGCTTCAGAAGATATTTGTTATTAAAAAAAACAATGCAAACTCTGGAAGATGCTTCATGTGACTAAGAATGACATAAGAATAAGATTAGAATTTTACTTCTCATTCACTTCAAATGGATTATTTATTTGCTGACCAGAATAGATAACCTTTGCCTGCATTGCAAATGCATGTATTGTGTTACATATTTAAGGGCATTTTCATCTTGTTTTTTGGACAGATGTGTTTTTTATCTCCTGTCAATTTTACAATTCTATAACCTTGCTTTTGAATAGCACGAAACAAAGGGCTGTAACATGGCCCAGACCCAGTGCTCGCGCATGCACCACTTGTTGTAGAGTTTCACGGTTCGAACCCAGCGGCTGCCCTTGTTAATACTACAGTGTGTATCAAGCGTAAAAATACCGGCCGTATGCTTGACAATGGGGGGGGGGGGGGGGACGTTAAAGAACCCGTAACATAATTCGCAAAGAGTAGAGCATTGTGTGCTGGCGTGGTCCAACTTTGAAAACTACCTGCAAATTATTCAATGGGAGTATACATCAGAAAACATTTCCCCCCCGAGTAGTGTGAAAACTTGGCAGGACTCTCCCGAAAACAAGTCATGAGACTCAGTGAGGGTTCAACGGGTAAACAAGTGTAGTAGTAGTAGTAATACACGAGCATGAATGTGACACACACTAGTCATATTGCTGCACAGGAGCAGGGGATGTTTGGTGTAGCATTTGCGGTTAGCAACTCTGTGTTTACTACCTTGAAGCTCGTAAAGAAATATGGGGCAAACATACAGTGTGGTGCGCAGACTCGATCACAACTGAATTTTTAATCGCGATAAAACTAATTTTGAATGCATCCGTAAAAATAACTCAAATCAAGCATCGCCACACTTTTACAACATTGCTATGTCTGGTTTCAATAATTGTACAAATGCATGCATTTCTCACTTTCATACGTGTGCATCCATACAATTACTCAAATAAGACATCACACACATAGTGAGCGCATTTTATAAACTGCTTTGACACATTTGTGTCAATTATTTGAGTATGCTGCATTGGCCAGTGTTGCACAAGCACAATAAACAAAGCAATAAACAAAACAACTCACACTTAACTGTCTTGAAAGAAAAAAAAATGTAAAATTGGTGATGTTTCTTCATGTCACATGTCGAGTGTGTTGAGTTTTTTTGACACGTTGTGTTCTCAATGCCATTTTTTACGCTGACAGTTTAACGATCGAAAACGCAGCGTGGTGAAGTATGGTCAAATAACCCCCCACGACCCACATGGCATGGCGAGGCCCTAATCCAGCAGCGGATCGTGTACAGTAGATGACCAATGTTAATATGGCCAAAAAGTATTGCTTTTTCGCATATTGTTGAGTTGTGTAGCATTAACTGTACCCTTGCTCTATGGTGAATTGCTCTGTTGTTGGGGTGCCCCAGTGTCGGGATGTCTGCTCCCTCGCCTGGTATGTCAGGAGGTCGTGGATTTGATCCCGACCCTAACACCTGTATATTTGGCATTTGCATGTTCTCCCTGTATTCGCATGTATTTTTCTCCGGGTCCTCCCGTTTTTCCCTCCACATTTAGAATCAACACGCGTTTCGAGTATTTGGCTGCTATAAATTACCACATGACAAGCTACTTCGTTGAGCTATCATTGTGGCCAGGTTGCTTCTGAAAAATAGCTATATAGGTCAGTGGGCCTTTCTTGGTCAAATAAATAAAAACATTGAATACACATGGTATGAGAGAGATTGCCACTTTGAAGTAAAACTACTTTTGAGCTACAAATGAGTGTGGGAATTGAGGCAAAACTGTTTGATTCCGGTATATGCTGGCATGTGTATAGTTGTGTAAATAGATTATGTCCATACTCACCCCAGCTTGTAAATTCCCATTTCATCTCCACGTAGAAATCTGTTGCCTGGTTGCAAAGAAGGGAAAATTAGTCAGAAGTGAGCTATTATTGTCTTGAATCAAAATTTTCCCTGCAGCTATTCATCACAGATGTGTGCACTGCTGTATATTGAACACACATATCCGAGTAATTACAGATACACTTTTGAAATCACATTTCAGAGGGAAAGTTAATAACATTGCTTAAAGCTTCCTCCAATTATTTTATAATTTTTGCCAATGACAGAGATTGGCAAACAAACTGATTACCCTCATCCTATTTTCTTGATTCCTCAATATTGCAAAACTTCTCCCCTTTTGCTTGCTTACAGGTCGGTGCATGGATACCGTGCAGGAAACAAAAAATCCACTGTGCGTGGGAAACATCAGCACCCTTTCCCCGCAACAAAACTTACTCGTACACAACGCGAAATGAACGCATTACTGAGACAGCGTTGACTGAACAGCAGCCGTCGGTTTCAACAACTCACGCACGCAAATAGAGATTTTTAAGTGCCGTGAGTGGGGCAGGGAAGAGGAGAGGGGGCCCCGAGAGACCAGTGGCCTTCATTGGGGTGGGGTGGGGGAGGCGCCATACCAAAGAGGTTGAGAACAACCACCCCCAATGCACGGTTAGTAATGTGAAGCCACAAGATCATATTTGTCTTAAAACTATTCTCTGCGTTTCCAAATTAGCCGTGTAGAATGTGCTCTTTGATACCACTCCGATTGCATCAAGGTAAGCCTGGCTGAACCATAGCGGGCTTCAGATATACTTTAAATATACTTACAAATCGTTAAATTGGTTGAAATATCGCAGTGCTCGTTTGTGCTTTGGTATGTAATAAACTGTAAAAAAAGTTAACTTTTGATAAGGTAAGAAACACATTCATTTTATACGACAATCAAATTGCCTTATTCGTGGAATTACAGTTTTTACGAAGGTGCATATTTAAAGCAGACATTTCCATTAACACTAAAATTATGTTATGAAGGCAAATTTCTTTAATGCACAAGAAGGAAGAGTGGTTTAACCACAGCTTAATGGCTCGTGTAGTTAATCAAGTTTTTTTTTAACACACACTCTATATATAAAGACACCGAGCTAACTTATAGAAAGATCATCACATATTTGCTTAAGAAATCTGATTAGGTAATCGAGTTCATGTTGGTGATTTAACTTCAAACTTGGCAACAGTATGGGTCTCACTTAAAAATAATGATAATTTTAAAGCGTATATAAGCAGAATGAACCACATTGTCTCCACATATAAATTCAAATATAATGTTTTAGTCCATCGGCCTTGTGGCTTTGTAGACTAATATTTACCAGCAACATTTGTTAAAAACAAGCACATTCTCGACCGATTTTTACCTCATGTGCATAACCAGCAGGTTCAGGCTAGCTAAACAAATACTGCTGTATCATCACATGTTATTGGCACGATCACCTCCATCTGAACGATTTGGCCCTGTTCAATGCCAAAACTGGCGTCATGTCATCTCGAACAAGGATCCACCAGCGCACGGTCTATTGCCTGTAAATCAGGTGGCCCATTACGAGGTCTTGGTCATTCAACGAGACTTTGCTCCCTTTACACGGCCTTTTACACGATCCAGCGACTGACAAGACTGCATATGTTTCCTTCATAATTCATCAGTGTGGCCACTCGCTCCCTGCTGAGCGGACAGAAAACGACCCCGAGTCACTTCCTGTTCATCACAATAAAGCAGGAAAGGATATTGTTTTCATATCATGGGTCAAATGTGCACTTATAAGACACCGCTGAAAGAGAACATTATATATATAAAAAAAAAGGAGATTGTTTTCTCAAAGTCGGTCATCTCAAGGTTAGGGTTGGGCATATTGGACTAAAATCAATGGTAAATTACGTGAGCATAATACAGACGTGTACACGGGTGCTGAAGCAGCAATTTTGAGGGGCAGGGTGACAAATTAATGTTGCTGGTTAGTGCTTAAAGAGGGCTTATACTTGGTTTGCTGCTCATTTCCTAAACTCAAGCTTTGCAGCCCACCGCTACCCACCACAGCCGGGTGAAGTTTGGAGCTGTTTGCTGTGTGGCCATGTAATGATGCAGAATCAAACATTTTAATGATTCAAATGTTGAGGATAAATACATAAAATTTTGCACATGAGAATAGATGTTTTTACGATTTCACCAAACTACGATGTTACAGTTAATAAAATGGACCGAACAAAAATTTATTTAAAAAAAAGACAAAGAACAAGAAATATAAAAAAGACAGTACATTTTTTCATGAAAAAATGGAATCTCCAATGAAATCACGACCCAATTCGTGACAATTTACAGACTTTCTGGGAAAGCCGTGGCTACGGTGAGCGTGAGTTTGTGTAACGTTCAACACCTAATTATTACTGTGTGCATCAGCATTTCTTTCCCCGGTGATATAAAAGAGTTCAAGGGTCTTGCTCCTCCATCTCAAGTGCGCTCCCTCCCTCCCTCGCCCACCTTGCGGAGCTTGGCCATGAGTTCGGGGATGCCGGCGAGGCGGCGCGTCACCCTACGGTAGTCGCGGTGCTGGAGGATCAGCTGCACCATGTCGGGGTCACCCGTGCTCACGGCCTCTTGCAGCACTGAGCCCCGCAGACAGAAGTGGGGGGGGGCACACACCACCACATGAGCAACTGCACCCACCACGGCCTGAAACTACCACCGCCGCCGCCCCGCTTCCAGTGAGGGCCTTCAATTATTCTCATTGTGTGTGTCACGGGCAAATCTGTCGCAAAATGCGAACGCTAGCAGAAGCTGAGTTTTGCAAGCCCTCGAATGAGAAGTGACGAATTGAGCTTTTGCTGGTTTGCTCTCCATATAGGTTCCCTGGCTCTTACTCTTTCCTTAAAATCAAACTGTAATATGGAGTGTGCCAGGATGTGTTGCACACCCTTGTGAGTGCAAACCATGCCGCTGCACTGCTAGGGGAGGTACGTGGCCTGAACTGGCAAAACACCGCAGTGAATGGATGAGCAACCGAGGATTTCTATTGATCATTTTCCTCAGCTGTCCCTGTGGTCAAAAACTCCCAGCCATCCGTACTATCCACTCCCTGATCAAATCCAGGTTACAGGACCTTTCCTTTTTCCTCTTCCTACGACTGTATTTCTCTCTAAAACAAGGTCACTGTTTCTGTGCATCACCGTGAGATGAGGGGTTGCATTGAGTTTGATATATAAATCCAATTTGTATTTGTACTGTGATGTTGAGAAGACGCTCGTACAGACGCGTTCACTCGCTCAACACAAGTGAACCCCTTCACTTTCGTGTGCTCGGAGGCATGGAAAAATATCTGAAACCACACTCCAACCGCGTCAGCCAGCAAACACAGATATCCTTCAAGACACACCCACCGGTTCCAAAAATGGAGTGGCAACAGCAACCTTTGGCCGAGGGGGTGGTGCCAGTGGGGGTTAGCTAATTACCAGCGAGGTGCTGCCAGGGTAACGACTCGGGGAGCCTTACCGGACCATCCTTGCCGGTTTTCCACGGCCACATTGGCCCCGTGTTTGAGCAGAAGGCGGGCGCACTCGATGTGCCCGAGGGTGACGGCCAGGTGCAGAGGCGTGCGCCCGCGTGGGTCCCACCTCCTCCACGTTATGCTGCGGGAGGCACGAAGACAAAGATCACCCCCCCGTGTAGCCTTAACTGACTGTTGGGGAAAACGCTGTTCGCGAGTAGCACCTGTGATGGTCGGCACGGCACACGAGGGGATGGGTGTCCAACACCACGCCCGGCTGCCTTTCTCTCCAGTGGCGATGTTTAACTACACACCACCACCAGGTACTCATTTGAGGCTGAATCGACCTAGGGAAGACCCAGAACTGATTCAGATCGCTAATTGGAGGTGCGGGAAAAGGGCAACAAACTTAAACACAAAAAGCAGTTCGAATATCGGGAGGAAGAGCGTTCCAGACGGTCGCAGAAGCGCATCTGAAAGCGCGCGACGGTGGCCATGATCGGGAATCGCTCCCCACTGCGAGAGACGCGCACACACACGTACACGCGCGCACACACGTACACGCGCACCCACACACGCGCACACACGCAAGCGCACACACACACGCGCACACACGTACACGCGCACCCACACACGCGCACACGCGCGCACGCGCGCACACACGTACACGCGCACCCACACACGCGCACACACACACGCGCACCCACATACACGCGCACACACGTACACGCGCACACACGCGCACGCACGTACACGCGCACGCACGCACACCCACACCTGAGTGCCCACGAGGACAGGCGAGCTCCGAGCGCGCAAGGGAATTCACTGTCGGTCTGCAAAATCACGGGAGCTCACGCGTATTTCTCAGTGCCATGAATCATCCTCACCGAGGGGCTTCTGTGAGGTTACCAAGTAGGATTGCCACTATTATTGTTCACGATATAAGCTGTTATACTGGTAGGAACCACCTGGTTCCACCAGCCCACAGGGGATGATTGTGTCCGTCCGTCCGTCGTGCATCCAAAAATGGGAGGGGTGGGGCTGGGTGGAGAGGGGAGGGTGGGGAGGGGCTGGGTGGGGAAGGTGGGAGGGGCTGGGTGTGGGCTGGGTGGGAGGGGTGGGGCTGGGTGGGGAGGGGCTGGTCACCCCGTGGTGCCCTTATAAAACTCAACGTTTAACCTACTCACGCCGGCTTGTGCCCGCCCTCAGTCGGGCATATTTGCGGAATACACCACGCCGCCGTTGACCCTGGCCATTGACCGAGCAACCCAACGTTCCTACCAGCTCCCTCCGCAGGAATGTGTTATTTCACAATACGTTAATGATCGTAATGTTGTTTTCCCTTAACTTTCACATTTTTACGGTATGATTATTGTGCTTTGATGTACAACAAGTATGCATATAAATGACTTATCATGTATTCAAACTGCAGTTTACTGAGTGAAACCTGCTCAAAGTATTGTGATCATTGCACATTTAAAAACTACTAGCTGTACTACCCGGCTTCGCCCGGGACTTGGATCCACCACGCCCGGCCGCCTTTGTCTCCCAAGTGCCGATGTTAATACGCCACACCAGTTACTCGTTTGAGGCTGAGTCGACCTAGGGGAGGTTCAAATAATCGTCACCGGTGGTGGCCGTGAGCGGGAATCGAACTCGGTTCGCCGGGTTGGTAGCGCAGCGTAGCGTTAAGCACTACACCCACCGCTCCTCACACACCACACACGCACAGACACACACACAGACACACGCAGACACACACAGACAGACACAGACAGACACACACACACACAGACACACAGACAGCACGCTAAGCACTACACTACCGCTCCCCACACACCACACACGCACACACACAGACACACACACAGACACACACACAGACACAGACAGCACGCTAAGCACTACACTACCGTTCCCCCTACACAACACACGCGCGCGCGTCCATAGGTACACATACACGCGCTTGCTGCAGACACACACGACTTTCAGGGTGCGTAAGGCAGTAAACGACTGAAATAATAAAGCGGCAATGCTGTGCGAGGAACGCCTTAGACCAGCAACACATTTGTGTAATGCGAGCGTAAACACACAAACACATACAAACACATACACACAGACATACACATACACACAAACACACACATACATGCACACAAACACACACACATACATGCAGACACACAGACAGACACGTAACACACATACATACACACACATACATACACAGAAACACATACACACACATACATAGACACACAGATACATACACACAAACACATGCACACACGTACATACACACATACATAGAGACACGCAGACATACACATAAAGACATAAAAAAAAACCCACATACATACACACACATACACACAAACACATACATACACATACATACACACATACATAGAGACACACAGACATACACATAAACACAAACACACATACACATGACCCGGCTTCGCCCGGGACTTGGATCCACGATGCCCCGCCGCCTTTGTCTCCCCAGTGACGATGTTCACACACGACAGCAGTTACGCTTTTGAGGCTGAGTGGACCTAGGGGAGGGCCAGGTCCGTTTCAAATAATCGTCAGCGGTGGTGGGCGTGAGTTGGAATCGAACTGGGGTCGCTCAAGCAGCTTAATGACTGTTTGTACAAAGAACATATAAAGAATCGATTATAATAACCAGGCAAGAGTCCATATTATAGACTGCCAGTACACGCACTCAGCTTCATAAGCAGGCTAGAGTGTACATGATAGTGGCCGTACGCTCACCGAGCTTAATAAGCAGGCTACAGTGTACATGATAGACTGGCAGTACGCTCACCCAGCTTAATGAGTATTTGTACAGTGAACATTAAAGTAATCGATTGTTGGCGCGTTGGGTTTAAAAGTAATATTAATAGCACACATTGTGGTGGGGGTGTAGTGAAGAGTAGGAAAAACTTTGATGAATTTACCTCAGAGTGGCGTGGTGGGTGTCGAGGCCTAGTAGCGTGCAAAGCCTGCGGCCTCGCCTAAAATTGTCGGCTTGGAAAAGGCAGGGTACGGGTGGCGTTCCTTCCCCCCCCCCTCTAGCGCTCCAACAATACTGTGTAATGGCTATTATTTAATTAAATACGGAGCTTATGAAAGTGGCGAAGGCGTGGCTAGCCGTTGGCAGGGGCAACCGCCGTCCAATGAAACTGCAGCCCTTGGCGAAGGCGTGGCTAGCCGTTGCCAGGTCCAATGAAAGCGGCGAAGGCGTGGCTAGCCGTTGCCAGGGGCAACCGCCGTCCAATGAAAGTGCGTATGGGCCAAAGTCCACACACAGACAGACAGACATGAACGATTTTATATATATAGATTCATGCTTATCATGCACATGTTGTCATTAAATTACGAAGATGATGTTATATAATAATCACCACGCGGCCAATTTTTCCAGGAAATGCATTAGAAAGGACTTGTTTAATGAGTATTAAATATTTATTTGCAACTCTAATTATTCTTGTGAACTTTCATTGTTATTTTATGCATAGTTCGTCAGGAAATAAAATCTATACGTAAAAAGCGAATGGAACGAACAACAGTCACGATACGTAACGATGCTCTGCAAGAATTATCGTTGATCTTGTTACCCCTACGCTACTATTGCGGCAACGCTGGTATTCCCGCTGGCCAAAGGAGCCCTACTCGTATTCCTCAGGTGCGATATGAGTCATTCTCTCTGTGGGCCCTCCGTACGAATGCCGTGAACACCCTTGCCAACGCACCCAAATGCGCAGTGGTCGTACAGCAGCGAAGGGCCGAGGATGATTCATGGTGGCAGCGAGACACGCGCGTGTGTGTGTTGTGTTGTGTGGGCGTGCACATGCAAAGCGGCTCCCCGTGTGCGTTTACACAATCATTTGGGATGTTTGTAATTCACACACACACACGAAAGAATAAAAATAACACACTGTAGATGTTTATTCAAACACACAATGCGCATTGTCCTCCGTGGGTCCTGCGTGGGACCCCCAAGTCATAAAACACCATTGTGTCAAGGGCAAAAACGATGTGACTACACTTTTTAGTGAACGCTGCCAAAAATGTGATTTTGGACAAGCTAAATTCGACGGGCAGTTGCTGTTCTCCCAAATCGACGCATTTCGAAATCGCCTTGGGTTTGCAATGATTTATGGGCTCGATGAATTATTAATCAATCCTTATAAAACATGCATCCAGTGTAAACCGCAGTGGGTCCTGATTAAAGTAATGACGCTTATGGAAATGTCTGCTTTGGAAAAATTAATTGGGATGGCAAAAAATTTAATTTCTGATTTGATTATCCAAGGGATTTTCTTTTAAACAAAATGCCAATGTCATTGTCTCTGGTATCCTATTGGAAAAATTATTGAATTAACAGGATTTCACACATTTATCTTTCTCAAACGTGACCTAAAGCAGTTGTATTTTGACGTGTAGTGATTATGAGAATAATGGAGTCGTTGGTAATTAAGACATTATCTCTGAATGATTATGCAAGAATGTAACTTTAACAGCCACACAATATTGCAGCCACCTCATCCAAGCAGTAAAATATACGGTTGTAAACATTTCTGGATCTAGGACATTCGCACAATCGTTAGCCTTTGCACGCATATGCAAATAAACTGGCTTTTTTTTCTATTTCTCTGGACGTTTATTATAATTTCGGGCCAGCTAAGGGACCCCACATTCTAAAAGCATCGTGCATTACTTTCACGATACAGTGATCGCAGGTTCAAGGTAATGCTGCAGTGGAAACGGATGCGGTTGATAACTGTTTTTTTGGGTTAGATCGCGTAAATATAAATGTGTCATTAAACCCGCCACCACCCGACACAGCCAATTAGTAAGGTTTGTCACGTAAACAGAACATGCCAACTGTGTTGGAGAGTAAATCCACAACTTTTATAATCTGAGTACGACGTTTCGCCAGTAATTACAACTAGCATCAGGCAACAGCCAGATTTGTGGAAAATATATTTACCCGATCTAACCCAAAAAAAACCTGTATTATGGATAATATTGGCCGTGAAAGCCTGTGTTAATGGATGCGGTTGACTAAACTATGATACAGTGTGCTCACATTACACTGTATTTATAAAGTGTACTTATTCCATTGTAATTGTG